CATAGAATGTAAGTTCCTTGAGGACAGGGACCATTTCATTTTTATTCGTAATACCTAGCACAATGTCTGGCACTTGGGTGCTTAGTAAATATTTGTGGATTGATAGGGCTTTCAATTTGTTGATTGATAGGTTGATTGATTGAAGGTCCTATCAGTCCAAGTTGCTTCCTGCTTCAGAAGTACAAGTCACTTAACTTCTGTTTACCTTAATCCACTGGAGAAGGAAATGGCAAACCACTCTAGTATCTTTGCCAAGAAAACCCCAAATGGGGTCATGAAGAATTGGACAGCTTCGGAGAGAGCTAGATTATAGACTTTACGAGTGAGTGAGATGAGAGGAAATGGAAGCACCAATGGTAGATAACTTTCTCAAGGAGTTTAGCCATAAAAGGGAGGAGATATATAGGATAATTGCAAATAATGAGTGACAATTTTTTTTATAAATAACAAAGAACACACAGATGTGTTTGTAGGCAGCAAGGAAGTAGCTGGTAGATAGGGAGAGATTGAAGGTTAGTGAGAGTAGGGATGGTGGAGGGGACAAACTTTTGGAAAAGTTTTGATGTCATGGGACCATGTTTGCGTGTAAAGGGGCCTTGTATTTGCAAGCAGAAGGGCCCTCTCTTCACATGAGATGAGCGAAGGAGGAGATAAGCAGGGGGAATAGTCAGTGATGTGAGATAAAGAAAGATCTCTTGGTGAGTGGACTTTTTTTTTTTTCTAGTAAAATATGAGGCAAGATTCCCGGCTGAGAATGAGGGGCAAGAGAGCCATGGTGTGGTTTGAGTGGGGAGAGTTGGAACCACTGCTCTGTTTCTGAGAGGGCAAGAGAGTAAGCAGTTATATAGTGCCAGACACTCTCCTAATTTGATCCTCACAACAACCCTGCAAAAGGTGTATTATCCCAATTTTTCAGATGAGGAAACTTCGGTCAAGTGACTTGCCCAGCTAGAAAGTAAGGATGAATTTGAACTTAGGTCTTCCTGACTCCAGGACCATTGCTTTATCCACTGTTCCACCAACTGCTTGATGAATGGAAATGAGTCAATTAGGGATTGTAAAAGGATTTCCTTGCCGAAGTGGGAGCTTAATTGAGATTGTGAAACATAAATTCGTAGTGGACTCAGCATGGTTTTGTGATTTTTCTCCAGCTGCATTCAACATAATCTGAATAGCAACAAAGGCAGGGGATGATGGGAAAAATCCAGAGTTGGGGCTTGGCATGGGGTGATTAGTGATGGAATAAGGGATTCAGGGATTTGAGTGTATAGGGCAGTGTAGAGTTGAAATGGTCCACCAAGAAGTCAAGATGAGGAAGGAAGGAGAGTGTAGCCAATGAAGGGATGATGATGGCTTGGGAAAGAACTGGGGCAGTGTGGAGGATTTGCAGGTCATGGTGAAGGTGAAAGAATAGGGCTAATGGCCAGTGGTTGTAAGGCAGAGGGAATGGTGGAATGATAAAGATTATCATTAGATAAAGGAATTTTAGAGTTCTTGACAATGGAAGTAGAATGCTTGTGGGTGACAGCAAGATTTCTGTGTATAGCTGACATAGAATGGAGATAGTATTACATCATGGGAAATGAGTAAATTGAACTCAGAAGTGATGTTTTTTTTTAAAGGTAGTTGGAGTTAAGTGACTTGCCCAGCGTCACACAGCTAGTAAGTGTCAAGTGTTTGGTCTGAGGCTAGATTTGAACTCGGGTCCTCCGGACTTCAGGGCCAGTGCTCTATCCACTGCGACACCTAGCTGTCCCAGAAGTTATGTTTTTTGAGGAACTATCACACTTTCTAGAAGGCCAGTCATCTTTCTAGTGCTTTCTTGACCCTTACTGTCTTATTTGTATAGCAGGTGGAAGCAGATACACTGTATTAGAGCTAAAGTCCATTATTAGTTTGAAGGGCTAGTTAATGTTGACTGTAGATTAGAAAAGAAAATTAGCAGTGCAAAAATAGTGTCTAGCACAGCTGAACGACTGTTTCAGTGAGTTATTCATAGGCTCTAGGAGGAACCTACCAAGCAGAGAGTAGGGCTGGAGGGACAGAAGTATCTTCCAAGTTGACAAGGCTGCTCCTGACTCCATGCCTAGCAGCCTTCTCACCCTGGAAGATACCTTTGCTCTTGTGGTGCCCTCTTCTAGACTCATGGCTGGTCCAGCCCTGCCAGCCGCAGTCCTTTACTGCTCTCTGGACTCTGCTTTTGACTCTTCTCTGTGGATTACTCTGCCATAACGATCACTATTCCACTCCATGTTCCCTGCTCCTGCTTTTCAGCTCCCTTTTCTGTTTTCTCTTGGAATGTAAACTCCTTGAGGTCAGGGACTTTCTTTTTTGCTTGCATAGGTATTTCTGCTACTTAGCACAGTGCTTGCCATGTAGTAAATATTTTAAAAATGCTTGTTAATTTAGAAATAGAAGAACAAAGGAGTGTGTGTGTATGTCTGTGTGCATGCATGCGTGCGTGTGTGCTTTGGTTTCCATTGGAATATTGAATATTTAGCACACATACTAACATGTAAGTATCTGAAAATTACAGCTTTTTCCTTTGAACCTTTATTTTTATAGCATTGCTAATTGGTGGTTATATGCAAAACTAATCATCCTGGATTTAAATGAGAAACCAAGCATATGTAATAACCAAAAAATATTTAATTTATATAAAATTCAGTATAGTTGAAAAAACATGATCTATAACTATCCTTTTGAATCACAAAGCATTAATAAATTTACATTATACTTATCAGTTATATTTCCCATACAATATTTAAAGTGTTCTTTTAAAAAAATAAATTTGTATCAATTGCTTTGTTTTTACATTATTCAAATATCCCATGTATTTCTTCCTTTTCCCAGAGTCATCCCTTACAATAAAGAATAAAAAAGAAAAAAAAACAGTTCAGAAAATCTTACCAAGATCTTGAAAAAGTCTAACATAGCACCATACCTGTATAAAGACATGGCATACAGTGCCTTCTCATTTCTCTTTTACCTTTCTCTTCCTTTGTATCATTGAGTTTTCTATCATTTTGTCATTGTTGTTTACATTTACAGTATTGCCATTGTGTTTTCATGTTTTCCTCAGTTCAAATGTCTTATCATGATTTTCTGTATTCAACCTACTCATTGCTTTTTACAGCACAGTAAAATTTCATTCCATTTAACAATTGTTTCAGTCATTCCCTAATTGATGGACAAATACTTTTAAAAAAATTGGCTATTACAAAAAACGTTTCTATAAATATTTTAGTGAATATGGGGCCTTTTTGCCACTGCCTTTCTTGGCATATATTGAGTCAAAAAGAATGGAACTTGCAGTCATTTTCTTTACATAACTCCAAATTTCTTACCAGAATAGTTGGACCAATTTACAGCTCCATCAACAGTGCATAAGTATATCTTTCCACAAGTCCTCTAGTATTATTATTGCAATCTTTTGTCATCTTTGCCACTTTGTCAAAAGTCACATACATTAGGATTATACATTATTGATAATATTAATAGGCCAATGTCAATCAAAATTAAAAACCTTGAAAGATCCTAAATTTAGAGTGAAAGGGAGAGACCCTGTAGATCATCTGGTCCTATCCATTTATTTTAAAGATGAGGAATCTGAGACCCAGAGAAGGAAGAGGATTTATCAGTCACAAAGATAGTAAGTAGTTGAGCTGATATGTAAATTCAGGTTCTCTGACTTTTAGTTCAAAGCAGAATAGGACTTTTATAGTAAAATGCTGATGCAGACAATTCCCAAACCAAAGATCTAGTTCGTTGTCAGCTCTAGATTTGCTGTGGACATTTGTTTTAGAAAGTATTATGTCCTAATTTGGGAGAAAGGGGTGATATCATTTTAGCCTATTACCTTTTCTTCCCTCTCAAATCCCAGCCCTCCGTTCAAATTAAATTATTGAGCTAAATTTTTTTTTTGTTGGAAGAGATAAAGGAATTGATTTCTGAGAGATAACAGTAAAGATTTCAGGATAATATAGCTGTGCAAAAATAGAATGTTGCCTTAGTGGTGGGGTGAGGGTAATGAGTTTCTCTTGATTTGTTTTCTTCAAACAGGCTAGATGACCAGTTGTTAGGGATATTTTGAAGGTTCATGCTTTGGTGTTGTCCTATATTACCTGTTAGGTCTCTTTCATATTTTTTCTTTTATTATTTCAGTGGACTAGTTTCCTATCTAAACCATTTGAGAGAGTTTAGTTCTAATCTTTATTTTTTAAGTTTGCCTAGTTATTACCTGGCATAATTTAATCCATTTCCTCTTTTGTTTTAAAAAAATTTTTCTCTCTCTTTTTAAGTATGATCACTTCCATGATAACGCTGTCCTTGAATGTACTCTTTGGCTTCCTCTGTTTGCCTGCTTCCCACTCCTTTACTTGTTTTTGTTGCTTTTCCCGTTAGACCTTTTTTGGTCTCTTTCCATAGCTTTTTAAGATATAGAAAACCAATTAGTGTTCCAGAAATTCTGACTGTGACTAAGTATATTATCATTTTGTGTTTAATATATCTTAATGTATCTATCAGTGTACCTCAATGATATTTTTTCTTTTCTTTTTTTTTTTTGCGAAGCAATTGGGGTTAAGTGACTTGCCCAGGGTCACACAGCTAGTGTCAAGTGTCTCAGGCCAGATTTGAACTCAGGTCCTCCTGACTCTAGGGCCAGTGCTCTATCCAATGCACCACCTAGCTGTCCCAATGGTATTTTTTAAAATAATGTTTTTATTTCAATTTTCTCAATTATATGTAAAAACAATTTTAACATACTTTTTTAAAAATAATTTTTAAGTTCCAAATTCCTTTCTTCCTTTCCCTCCCCCCTCCTTGAGAAGGCAAGCACTTTGATATAGATTATACATACATGTCAAAACATGTTTCTGTATCACCCATGTTGCAAAACAGAACACAGACTGAAACAAAACACCCTGAAAATGAGAAAAATAAAGTAAAAAAAGTATTCTTCAGTCTGCATTTGGACTCTTTCAGTTTTTTCTCTGGAAGTGGATAGCATTTTTCATCATAAATCCTTCAAAATTGTCTTGGATCATTGTGTTGCTGAGAATAGCGTAAGTCATTCACAAGTTGATCATTATTGCTGCATAATATTGCCGTTACTGTGTATGATGACCTCGTGGTTTTCTCAGTTCACTGCATCAGTTCAATGATACGTTTTTAAATACTATATTGGTGTTTATATTCTTAACTTAAATTGAAATTTGCTAGTGTGTGGGAGCTGTTTGAGCAATTTGAAGTATTGGTTCAGTTAATAACAGTGTTGTACAAATTTCTTGGGACCAGCACTAATTTTTGAAATGGTCTCATTTGGTGATAGCAATGATTGTGTGTTTCCACTTAATTTTGATCAGATGAAACCAGATTGAGTTGATTTCCGTGCCTTTAGTTAATTTCCTGTCAGCTAAGTGCTGCATTTCGTGCTGTACATATGTCATTACTTTCTTCTTGTGTTTTTAACTCTGGTTTTTCTCTCTCCAATGAAACATGCAAAAATTGTAGCTCTTCAGAGAGCAATTTGATTGTTAGAGGTATTTCAGTAGCTGTTGTTTCAAAGATCATTCAAGCCCATGATGAAGCAGGATCCAAACCAAAATGCAAAGGAGAATGTGCTAAAAATGAGAAAAAAAGTCAAGACACGACAAGTGCAGTAACTAATTGATGCAAAATAGCCTGATGCTCAGAAAACAAACTGGATTTTTAGAGAGACTTGCTGCTGGGTGGGTTGTTATCGACTCCTCTTCAGTGAGGAAGGAATAAAACCTCTTGAAGTTGGAAGAATAGCAAGAAGACCAGTAAAAAACCAAAATGAAACGGTGGCAGCTAGGTGGCACGATGGATAAAGCACTGGTCGTGGAATAAAGAGGACCTGAGTTCAAATCCAGCTTCAGACACTTACTAGCTGTGTGACCCTGGCAAGTCACTTAACCTTGATTGCCTGCAAAAAAAAAAATGTACTTGTATTTTGGGGCAGCTAGGTGGCACTGTGGATAGAGTTGTGACCTTGGAGTCAGGAGGACTTGAGTTCAAATCCAGCCTCAGACACTTGACACTTAGTAGTTATGTGACTCTGGGCAAGTCGCTTAACCCCAATTGCCTCACCAAAAAGCAAAAATAAATAAAAAACAAACAAAAAACCCCCAGATACTAATCATTCCTGTAGGGCACCTAGGTGACACAATGGATAGAGTGCCAGACCTGGAGTCAGGAAGACTTGAATTCAAATTCGGACTTAGATACTTATAAGCTTTGTGACTCTGGGCAAGTCTCTTAACCCTGTTTGTTTTCTTCATCTGTAAAATGACCTGGAGAAGGAAATGGCAAACCACTTTAGTTGTTCTTGTTTGTCCTTCGTTTTCAAAGAGGACCAATGACATCATGAGGGGATGTCTTGAATTGGATGTAAGTGGGGCAGAGTTATACAAAGCTGTCAGCTTTACTCTCTCTTCCAGAGTCATTGAAATCTAGTGGCAAGACAAGTCAAGATGACCTTGGCATTTTTGATGTTTGACCAATCTCTAAGAGCTCCACAGTGCCCACTTCAGCTGCCTCCATGGCCATTAGAACAAATTGTTCTTATCTCCCCATTCCACTGGGGGAAGTCTTCATATGCTTGGGGTAGACATCCCCCTAACTCACTGACGGGCTTGAGTCTTGTCAGCTACCCTCAAACTGGTTTAACCTTTCTGCCAAGACTGTTTTATGGGGATGTGGCTTCTGTGCATGCTTCTTGGAGTCACAGGTGACAGCAGGTATATGGGGTACTCAGGAAGGATTAGCACCTCTGGAATGAAGGCTTGCTGAGGCCTTTTTAAGGCTGTTCATCCACCTGTCCACTCAACCACTCCTGTATCTTTGTCAAGAAAGCCTCAAATGGGGTCACGAAGAGTCAGACATGACTGAAACAGCTTAACAACCACAACAACCAAAAAACCCCATCCCTATGAAGAAAAATGGCTTGCCATGGGCCAGACTAATATGATGACCAGAGTACTGAAGGCTGTGAAAAGGGCTTATGAAACTCCTTTATTTAGTGCCATAACAAAACTATGGTCAGAAGAACTCCCAAGTGAACCTGTGAGAACTGGGTATATTCATCAAATGGAAATATCTATACCCTAACCCCCCCCCTTTTTTTTTTACTTCCAGTGGTCCTGGAAGTTTTGTCCCTATTGGGGAATGATCAGCTCTGATAAATAGATTGATATCTTTTTAAAAAGTTTTAGGCAATTGGGGTTAAGTGACTTACCTAGGGTCACACAGCTAGTAAGTGTCAAGTGTTTGATCTGAGTCCAGACTTGAACTCAGATCCTCTTCAGGGCCGATACTGTATCCACTGTGCCACCTAGCTTCCCCAATAGATTGATATCTTGAGAAACAAACTTGTTTTGAGCTTTTAGAAATTGCCAAATGGCAAGGGAATGCCAAAATATAAACTTACGCCATGCCACAAAAAGTTAAGCAATTTCTCTAGTAGAATTAGATAGATATACTTCAAGTACATTCATTTAACTTAGAGTCCATTAAAACCTATGAACTATAATGAAAAATAGACTTGAAAAGATGGACAGTTCGTTAAAGGCATGCTTAACATTCATTGTGATAAAACTGGTTTCATGATGAAGAATTGAAGATTGTACCATAAGCCTGAACTTAATGTCAAATCACGTAAAGCAAATAACAAAAGGGCACATACTGTGTTGTAAAAGTTTCTTAAGGATGTAAAGATGTTTCTTAAAGATGTTTATTGTCTTAAGTTAATAAATTCATTTACTTAGTGTCAAGTCACACACTACTGCAGTCAAATTGTAGTCTATAGTCTTCTATGTAATTGGTAATTTCCTAAAAATCATACCTAAAATACCAGTGTTGCAAGTAGAAAAAACTTACCCCTGCAATCTTCAGAATAAAACCAGTAGTATCTAAATGAGGTAAATCTATCAGGTGTTTTTTTTTAATGGCCTTCAAATTAAGCACACTCGTTCTATCCTTGACAACTGAAAATATACTCCCCTGTTACCCAAAGTGACCAGTGCTGTTCTTGATTTAATTTTACCTGTGGCACGCTCAAGTATGCATTTATTTGTTACGAACAAGTGAAGCCACGTAGACCCATACGGAGAGCACGTTTTTGGGATAAGCGTGTACGTAGACAGCTAAAGCAAACTCAACATTGGAGATATCAATGTTGTGAACTCCAGTGCTGTGTACAGCTTCTATCAAAGGCTTCACTTCAGAAAATGCCATATGAATTGGGAATCCGGAGAACTAGAAGGGAAAATAAAATCATTAAAGGTTTTTTTTTTAAATCAGCATATATAAAAGCTTTTTCCTAAAATTTTTAGTTTTTTTTTTCCTGTAAATGTATTGTAGTTTCCATATATAACTGGCTCAACTGCTGGATTGAAGTTCCTTTGTTTAGTTATTTATGCACAAAAGTATCTGTGTATTACACATATTGAGATGAATGTGAATTAGACTGCTACCTTATAAGCAATCTAATTTATGGGAGCAGGCAAATTAACTCTGTGACTATGTTAGTGTTTCCCAGAATATTGATTACCTTAAAGGTAAGAAATTGGACTTGTAAGAAATTTATCCATAAACAAATATTTGGTCTTATGAACTAAACTATTCAGTCACTTGGCTGATGCACCTGAAGCAACAAGGCTTATTTTTGGTTATGTTAACTTTTTGGGTTTTATATAGAGCTTAATGAAGGGGGAGAGAGTGTTAATTTAGAATTAGGTATATTAAATCTGATGGGTCAATTAAAAAAAAATTCCCCCCAATAACATGTAAAAAGTTTTTAACATTCATTTAAAAAATTTTTGAGTTCCAAATTCTCTTCCTTCTTGTCCTCCCCCCTTATTGAGAAGGCAAGTAATTTAATATAAGTTGTACGTGTACAGACATACAAAACATTTCCATATTAGTCATGGTGCAAAAAAAGAAAAAGAAAGTTTAAAAAAAATATGATGGGTCTATTAAATAAGCAAATAGCATGCCATGAAGATTGGTTGATGCATGTACTTTAATTGGCTGCCTAATCTAAAGTGATTTAGCTAATTGTTCTTAGTACTTGAATTTCATTTTTAAATGGTTAGTTATTTCTTCTGCAATCCTTTGACAGAAATGATTTCCCTAGTCTCCCATTTGGTAGATAAAATACCTTTTATATCTTCTAGATTTCAGATAAAGTTACTGATAAACATTCAGAATTTATGTTCCCAATTTATATTTCTATTCATCTGCCTAATGCATACACACATATAAGTAAAAGTAAACTTATAGAGGTAAAAGTGCATTATCTGGGCAAGTAACTTGATTAGGTGATTTTCAGGCTCAAAGTACCATGTTTTATGAATATTTCCTCTCAAGTAGGAAATTATGTATTCATTTTAAAAGGCCACGCGTATTCTTCTTACCCTATAGTCTCCTAGCTGTCGGAGGAGTTCTGCTCTATGGTCATCTTCTATATCTTTCCCTTGGTTCTTTTCTAGCAAAGGCAGGAAGTGTCGTAGAGTAGATGTACAATATCTATTCCATCGAGTCATGTGGCGTGGTCTCCATTCCATGATTTTCTCCTTAAGTATTTTTTCAATCCTGCATAAAAAAAAAAAAGATTTGGTCTATAAGGGACTGTTCCTATAATATAGCCACAGTGAAAATTGTAAGAGGATTCACTTACTATGTGTGTCTTATTTGGCTAGTTGTTCAAACCAACCACTTGTACAATCATAGTAAATATCTCAGTTCCAGAGTTAGTAGAGAAAAAGCCCAAGGGAATTTATAGGCAAAATTTCACAGGCTGATTGTGAAGAAAATGCTTTGGAAACCCTGGTGTGCTAAACAAGATATTATTACTGTTCTTGAGTATGTCATTTTCTGATTTTTGTTTTAAACTTTCTCTGTCCTCCATAATAACCTCTATCATCAGAGACAGGGAAAGACAGGGCTTTGAGGTACCAATTTGTTTTTTTTTTTTTGGTGGATGAACATAAGATTTTAATTTGTAATTATGAAACTTAATTGTAATTTATAATTGTAATTTAATTATAGGATTTTTAATTTTTCAATTATTTCTGTTCATAAGACACTTTTTGCTCATATTGAGCATAAGGTGAATAATAAAGTTTAAAAAGGATAGAAACAGATAAATTTAGGGGCCTAGTTGACTTTACTTTGTTACATAATTGTAGGCTGTGCTTCTAGACCTATTGTTACCTTATAGATCACTTCAAAATTTACAAGCAGTTTTTCTCACAACTACTGTATTAATGTAATGCATGTGTCATACCTATTTTAGAAAAGAGGACACTACAAATCCTTGCTATTGGCCCCAAGGGTCGTAGAATAATTAAGTACTAATGGATTAACAAAACCATTCTTGTAGATTGTGTACCTAATATGTTCTACTTACTGATCTCTCTGTTTTTAACCAGTACAAAATTATTTAGAGAATTGCATCTTTATAGTATAGTTTGAGGTCTTGTATTGCCCTTTTGTTTGTACTTTTGTTTTCATTATTTCCCTTGAGTTTCTTGACCTTTTTTTTTAAACCTCCATATACATTTTGTAATTTTTTTCTAATTTTACAACGTAATTATCTAGTAGTTTGATTGATTTGGCATAGGTAAGTTAATTTATTAGAATTGTCATCCTGACAATGAACAAATAAGATTTTTCTAATTATTTAGGTCAGTCTTTATTCCTTATTTTTTCTAAATAAGTGGTTTGTAGTTATATTTTCACCTTGTGGATATCTTGGTAGGTAGGCTCCCAACCAAGCAGTTTATATTTTCTGTAGTAATTTAAAACACTTAGCTCAATGCCTAGCACATAGTAGGTATTTAATAAATGCTTGTTTTCTTCCTCTTATTTAAGTAGAATTTCTCTTTCCACCTCTTCCTTCTGTGTTTTATTGGTATTATATAGAAATTCTGATGATTTGTATGTATTAGTTATATCCTGCAGCTTTAGTTATTATTTCAATTAATTTTTAAAATTTACTCAGGGTTCCTTAAGTTCATCATCATATCATCTACAAAAGTGACAATTTTATTTCTTCTTTGCCTTTGCTTATTTCCATAATTTCTTTTTCTTCTCATTGTACCACTGATTTCTAACTTCTGTATTTCTATTGGTGTTGCCACCATTTTTCCAGTCACCCAGGCTCTTGTAACTTCTGCGTGATCTTTTACCCTTCCTTTTTCTTCATTCAGTATGTCCAAATAAATTGCCAAGACCTATTGCTTCAACCTCTACAATTTCTCATTTGTTTTCTCCTCACCCCTCCCACCGCAACCACCTGAATTCCTAAATTCTTGCTTAAGTTATTGTGACAGAGTCCTGACTGGTTTTGCTTCTAGTCCAGCCCCTCTCCGCCAGTTGTTGTACTTCACATTACTGCCAACTCTGAGTAATTTTCCTTTTGAATCACTCTGATCATGTTATTCCTCCACTCGGAAAACCTGGGTAGCTTCCCATTGCCTAGTGAATAAAATCATAAACTCCTTGTTCTGGCTCTTAAGTACCTTTATTGTCTAGGTCCAACCTTACCTAGCCTTCTCTAATGCTGCTTCTTGTCATAGACTCAATGCTTCAGTCTAACAGGATCACTGTCCATTCCCTGTTCTTGTTCTGTTACCTCCTATGACAGTGACTTTATTCATGCCATTCCCCCTGTTTGGAATGACTCTTCTGTTTCTATTGAAATACTTCTTTTCCTTCAGGACCACTAAATTCATTTTTCATATTTCATATTTCTCTTCTTCTGTTGAGCCTTCCCTGACTCCCCAGGTAAAATGATTCTCCTTCCTTCCTCAAGTTTCTCATAGTACTTGGTCTAGACCTTTATGCTTACTCAGATCATTCTCTTGTATCTTGTAATTTGTGGCTTTGTCTTTCTCTCATTGAGAGGTGGTGCAGCAGATATAGTGGTAGGCTTAGAGTCAGGAAGACCTGAGTTCAGATATGGCCTCAGATGCTTATTAGCTATGTGCTTCAGTCTCCTCCTCTGTAAAATGAGCTGGAGAAAGAAATGGCCAACCACTCTAGTATCTTTGCCCAGAAAACCCCAAATGGGGTCACAAAGAGTCAGGCATGACTGAAACAACTGAACAACAAGCTTTTTTCCAATTAGACTGCACAGTGCACCTTATATCTCTTTGTATCCTAGCTGTGTCCTGCACACAAAAGGCACTTAATAATATATTTTCAACTGAGTGCTTTTAGTAATGAGTTAACCTTTCTTAATTGGAGTTGTATAAGCAGATGCTAGAGATTCTCTTACTAATAGTGGGTTTTTTTTGGGGGGGAGTATACATTTTGTTTTGATGGACATATCAGTCACGTCTCAACAAGCACCTTTCCTTACTCATGTTTTTTTTTTAACTCCAGTATTTTTTCATAAAAATCAGTTAAACAAAACTATATGACAGGGATCAAGACATCATCACACTTTACAGTTTAACAGAAAGGAAGGATGTGTATTTTAACTTTAATAATTATGAATTGACATTATTTGTTTTGTTTGACCTGAATTTTGTTATCTCTTGTAACCTATAAATACTTTGTTTATACTGTTCTTTTGATTTTGATTTCTTTACTATGCATCAGTTTATGCAAGCTTTCTTATGTTTTCTTGAGTTCTCCATACTTCACAATAATTCTGTCCTTTATTAAAGCACTACTTACTTTACTAAAACTCTTTCTTTATAATAATTCTTTTCATTTGTATATTGCAATTTGTTCAGCTGTTCCTCAATTTTTTTTTTTGGCAATTGGGGTTAAGTGACTTGCTCAGGGTCACACATCTAGTAAGTGTCAGGTGTTTGATCTGAGGCCAGATTTAAACTCAGGTCCTCTTTACTTCAGGACTGGTGCTCTATCCACTGTGCCACCTAGCTGCCCCTCTTCCTCAATTTTTAGAACACACTTTATTTCCAGATTTTCTTTATTAGTGTTGTTATGAATATTTGGTAGAGAGGATTTTTCTTTTTCTGTCGTTGACTTGTGAGAGGGAATGTTGTGGAGTGGATTTGTGGTTTCAGTATAGGTTGGATGAAGTGGCTTCTGAAATCAGTGGGATTCTGATTCTAAGGGCCGTGATTTAACTGAGGAGTTACAGTATTTAGCTTTGTAAGAGACTTGAGATAGTATTCTGTCTAAGCCCTCCATATTACAGATGAAGAAATGGCTCTAAAGAACTGAAGTGACTTGTCCAAAGATAAATAGGCAGTAAGTAGCAAAGCTAGGATGCAAACCTCACCTCTGCTGACTTCCCATCAACTGTTCTGTCCGCTATGATATTCTTACCAAGACTTAAGGCATTAAAACATGCATCTTGGTTGTCGTTTGGAGACAGATGTTTATAGACATTATGGGGGTTAGATCTCACAGCCTGAATTTAGAATATGTGTATCAGAGATTGTTAGCTTAGAAAGGGCTTTAGTGATTGTCTTGTCCAATCTCATTATATAGATGAAGTAATTTGAACAGTCACTACCAAACTTAGGTGCTTCCTTGAGAGGTTCATATTAGGCCAATAAAGAAATTGCTAAGTTCTGTAATTGTTACATAAAGCACTCTTTCTCGCTCCCATCCCACCCCTGACATTTTTGAAAATAGCAAATAGGAAGCCCCTTTAATTTTTTTTGCACGTGTCTTCAGTTGTCTTGATTTTCATATAAGCCAAAGAAAAGAACAAAATGTGTTATTTTATGACTCATAATAGTTAACTGACCAATATTGAATAAAACATTGCACAATTTAAAGTCTAACCCTAATTCACAACATATCTTCACATCACTGAACCTAAATGACTACCAACTGGTGTCTGCTCCTGGCTGAAAGGAATTTGTGGTGAGTAATAAGATCAGGGGGAAAAGAATGACGGCCTGGACTTGACGCATTTAGTTCTTATTTCATGCTCAGGGCTGGTCCTAAGGTCAAAACATGCCCTGCACCAACAGAGCTACAATTTGGGACAAGTTTATTCACATACACCAACTAATAATGTACAGTGTATGTACAGAGTGGGAAAAGGTATTCTTTTTAGAAATGGACAAAAATAATTGAATCCTCTGCCTCCTTGATTTAGACTACAACTCACTGGATATTTGTTACCCACAGAATTAGATAGGGAATTATAGAGAGAAAATTACCTGTCTTGTAGTTCTGCTGCAGCAGCTTTGTCTGTATGTTGGTAAATTAATTCTTCAGGCTGAGAAGAAATGTTTTAGAATTTGAAAAAGATATGAAAAATTTAAAAAGCTTTGATATAATGAAATAATATATCTTGAACATAACTCTACCTACTTGTGCAAGGTAAGTATTGAAAAGTCCTGGCTATTAAAATGATTTTGTGTTCTCTTTTACATGTTTACACATGTATATCAGTTGTCACTGTGAGAAATAATTCATTTAGCCCCCTACTCTATTCCAATCAGTATTAATCAGTTTTATATTTTACATAAATCATGTAAGGAGAATTACATAAGATAGGTTCTTATAGTAGGCCTTTATAATAGTCTTCAAACTTTAATGTAATGTTCATTACTTGTTTAGCAAGTAGTGCTTACTTGTGCAGCCACAAGAATGCTGACAAAGTTATCTCCATCCTGTTTTGCTCAAATTACATGTCCAAACCCAGCATGGGTGGGATTCCTTGATTCTTTGGAAAATCTCCCAACTTATTTTTGTACCTCCAGACCATTCTCTCTTGTCCAATGTGAGCAGGTAACAATCTTATGACCCCCTTATGACCACTTAGTCAGTGGACATGCCCCATGCTTCACCCAACCTGTGACCTCCCTGCTGATCCATCATTATTGACCCTCAAGAGCAAGGTCTGTCAACCAATGAGATTCTGTATTTTACCATGTCTCTTTTGCATATTTGGGTATCAAACCCTATAACAGTAGGGTCCTGGGGACCAGAAGCATCTGAACATTAGGAAGATTTGAGGTCTACTTCATTAGTAACAAAGATAATATTAATACCTGAACACTTGAAAGCCCTGGATATGGAAGACTTCTTGAAAAAAAAGATTTCCATAGTTTGGGTTTGGTGATGTCAAAATTATCCTCGTTGGAGAATCATACCGTTGAATATTAAACCAAATCTAAAGAACCAATTGAAATACATTAGCGGATCACCATTACCTAGTCTCTTTAGAACATTTATTTAGAACATGTACAATATTAAAATTCATTATCGTGTATTCCTTTTCCCAGAAGAGAGACAATACTATACATAATTGTAAGAGAACTGTAAAACTGACTTAAGGGAAATGCACCTTTAACGTCTAAGAGCTTTACTACATAATTATGGAAAGGAATAAGACTAGGTCCCAACTGGACAGACCTCATATTTGCATTACCATTAGGTTTTTTCCCAAAAAAATATATTGACACTACTTGGTTATTGATGACTTTATATCCAAGGATCAACCTATCAATTAACAAGTCTTTACTAAAGGTGAATTTAAACAAAATGTATATTTGAATTAGTTCTGTTCCTATGGTTGGACACAGTGAAAGTATAATTTTAAAGTTATTTTGCCATTATGAGTGATTATTAGAAAGACATGATTCACATATAACAAATAAACCAATAATGTACAATATTGTTGAAATATTAAATGGAAAAAAGAAAGCAGTGATCTCTATATAAAAGGAACTGGGGAACACTTACATTGTCAGGACTTATTAAGCAGCCCACACTTTTTAAAGGACAAAATGTATCAAACTGTCCATAAAAGCGTCCACTACAGGGATTCCATATTAAATATTGGCTTTGTTCCCAAGTTAGCACATAGGCAGTTGGACCCTGGAGGAAAAGTAAATACTTATTAAAAACTGGATGATTTTTGAGCTTATACTTCAGTAGTCCACAGCACTGGTTGGAGTTTTGCATTGTTAGGTTATTACTTTAAATCATAAATTAATATCTCCAAAATCACATAGAGAATACATTTGAAATTTTAGGTTTGAGCTGATTAAAACCATAAATTCAGTTGCCCAAGGACAAAATTTTATCCAAGGAATATTAGCCACTCTACTCTGTTTATGGGCTTAGGAGTTAAAGGAACAGGATTTGAGTCTCTGCCTTATTTCCTCATCTGGAAAATTTGGATTATAATGCTTACATTCCTTCAATATAGTTCTCCTTTATCACTTCATTATTAGTAGAAGTGACTCTGGACACTTGAAGGTTTTATTATTGGAGTGTAAGCTCTGGCAAGTTTTACTAAGCATGAAAGGTTTTGGGCATGGATCCCATGATAAACTGTATTTGTCTTCTGAGGGACTGGCCTAGTTAAGGGCAGAGAATCTCATAACATCACAAAGCAAACTTCTGGGTGATTTGAAAAAAGCATCTATAAATAGATGTCAACTTGCGACAGCAGAAGAATGCAGATCTGCTCAAGAATAAAATGGACCTTTCCATAGCTGCAAAGCCACATTTGCACTATCTGCTTCAAAGGCTGTTGGTTGGAGAAAGGGTTTTGTATGCTGTAAAGTTCTATCTAGCCTGAACAGTTATTAATCCTTAATTTTGGCTTAAAAGAGGTAACAGTAATTCTCTACTGCTAACACTGGTGGTCTTTTGTCAGCAAGGCAAGAAGATTAAATAGTAATCTCAACTGTGAGTAAAGTCACTGGGAAAGAAGACTTTCTCGAAAGGACCAGTAGCCATGTATGTGAAATTTATATGAAATGACCAGAAACTTTATATGCCCTCAAATACTCAACTTTCCCATGGATGAATACTTTGTTCCCACAAAAGATTTTATGTTAGTAAAGTTACAACCACGCTAAATATTAGTGAATGTACTAAGGGGTATCTTTTCTAAATAATATGAAATGGGCTTTCCAAAGGAGATCTTTCCATAAAATCCTACAACAAAACAATCCTTTTTATATGAGACCTCTCCTCCGAACCCTAAATTTCATATTTTAATTTTTTGTTATTCTGAGTTTGACAAACTTCCACCAACATGGAATGCTTTGCAAATTTGGGTGTCACCTTTGGGCAGGGGCCATGTGATTCTTCTCTGTATTTTTTCCAGTTTTAGTATCTGTGAACACAGTAGCACTAATTTCTTCCTAACTTAGAACAGATGTATAAAACTCAGATCAGAAGTTGCCAGCTTTTGAGAAGTGAGGTGTCAAATTGCCGACAATCTATTTGCACGAGGGGAAGGGTTAGTAGCCGTTGTTGTTGGGATACGTGATGGAGTAGAAGATAGGAATCACAGGGATTGCCTTGCTCGCAAATCTCTATCCTTTCCCCCCATATCCTAATCAGCAACCTTAAAATGAAGTGACTCAAGAAGCAATATGACATAGTACAGAGGGCAGGCCGACATAGGTACTGAACCAGATTAAAATGTAATTGGGAAATGTTTAACAAAATAAGTCAGTATATTCCCGAAAGGGATCCGTTTCTATTTGCATTTAATATCACTGGGGTAGTGGAAAAAGTGCAGGATTTGAAGTGAAGACATCTGGGTTCAAAGTCTTGCTCTTTCATTTACTCCCTGTGGTAACACAGGGAAGTAACTTGAACTCTCTGGGCCTCATTTGCCTTATCTGTAAAAAATAAATGAAGTGGTCAGACTACATGACTCTATGGTTATGGCTTCTCCTGTAGTTATGGTTCATCACGGTTCCTTCCAGGTTTAAATCTTTGAAGCTCCAGGGAGGGTTAAGCCCTTTGCTCATTCACATTTCAGTTGCGGGTTATGGCCAGTCTGTCTTCAGAACCCACAAAGTATCTTGTCTCTCCCTAAAATACTTGTATTTTTCTGTGCAATTTTTACTCAGTTAGACTCTAAGCTCCAGGGGGGGCAGTATTGTTATATCTCAACTTTTTATCTTCCTCAGCTTCTAGCCTAGAGTTTGACATGTAGTAGGTTCTTACCAGAGTTGCTGTTTGTCCTTCATTTTTGAGGAGTACCAATGCTATAATGTTGGGTAAAATAGTGGATAATGGGTGGTGTTTTGACTTGTGTGAGTTGGATTAAATTGAGGCAGAGTTGCACAAAATCTTCAGCCTCACTCTCTTCCAGAGTCACTAAAGTCCGGTGGTAAGACAGAAGTCAAGACAATTAACAATGGCCCAGGATGCAGTGGACGACCTTGGTGTCTTTGATGTCTGACCAAGCTCTCAGTGCTCCATAGTGCCTGCTTTACCTGCCTTCATGGCTGCTGGAACAAATTGTCCTCATCCACCTATTCCACTACGGGAAGTCTTTACACGCAGGCAGTAGACATTCCTCTAGGTCTGTAACAGGTTTGAAGCCTGTCAGTTATCCTCAACCTGGTTTAGTCTGTTTGCCAAGATGGTCTTACCAGGGTTGTGGCCACTGTGCATGCTATAACTTCTTGGAGCTCCAGGTTAGAGTTTCTTATTATAATTCAATAATATAATATGCATATGTAAATAATATGCATATGTAAATAATATGCATAACATATAAAATAATTTTCTTATTGCATTAAACTATGACCAACCCCTCAATTCCTCATCTTCCATTTTCTCATCTCGATTTTCCTTCATTTTGGACTTCTTATATTCTTTCTATCTTTTGGTACTCAGAGAAACCCAGCTTCCTAGGTAAAACTGTTTTCCTGGATGTTCTCTCCAGTAGTAGCTGCACCTGTTCCCGTACCCTTTATCACACTGGTCTTGGAACAGGAGTCAGAATACACTTTGTTCCCTACTGGTACTTTCAGAGTCTTCTTCTCCTGCCAACACATGGCAACCTTTCTCCCTCTAAAATTCACTCTGTTAAAATTTATTATCCAATCCAGATTATGGTAACTTTTTTCTTTTGGCCCCTGGGTCATTCTGCCTCTTTTCTCAAGAGTTCAGTACCTGACTTGCTGTCTTTCTCTCCTTCCCAATTCTGACCTTTGCATTAAAGGGCATTTAGTATATCTGTTGATGCTCTCTTCAATACTCTAATCTCCCAGTCTCCTTTGCTGACACAGAGAATGTTGATAGATATAATCCATTTAAACAAAGCCCTTTAGGAGGTCCTCAGTAATTTTTAAGAGCTTAGAAGGGTCCTCAGACCAAAAATTTTGAGGATTGCTGATCTACCTGATCATAATCTCCTATCCTCCATCTCTCCATTAATTAAGCACTTCCTATGTGACAAGTACTGTGCTTGGTCCTGGGGATGAGCAAAAACTCGGTATTCCCAAGGAAATTTACATTCTACCAGGGAAATAAGTACATATATAGATATGTACAGGATAAATATAAAACAAATAAATACAAGGCAGTTTAAAAGGTAGGTAGGGGAGGAAGGCACTAAAAATTGGTGGAGATCAGGAAAATTTTCATGTAGAAAGTGGTGCTTGAGTTACGTCTTGAAGGAAGACAGGGGTTTTGTGAGGAAAGGTTGAGAAGGGAGTGTATTCTGGGCATGTGGGATAGCCAGTGCAAACGCTATGGAGTGTCATGTGTGAGGAACAGGAATAAAGTGAATTTGGTTGAGTTGAAGAATATGGGAAGGAGAGTAATGTATAGAGACACTTGAAAGATAGTTTTGGGCCAGGCTGTGAAAGGTTTTTATATTTTATCTTAGTCAATAGGAATTTATATTTTATTTTAGTCAATAGGAAGCCACTTGAGTTTATTAAGTAGGAAGATGGCATGGTTACATCTCTGCTTAAGGAAAAACCATTTTGGCAGCTATGTGGAGGATGGACTGGAGTAGGAGAGATTTGGGGGCAGAAAAATCGATAAGGAAGGTGTTGCACCAATCGACATGAGAGTTGATGAAGGTCTGAACCAAAGTGGTGGATGTTTGAGTAGAGAGAAGGGTTAAGATGCTAGTGATATTGTGGAGATTGAAATTGCAAGATGTGTCAACTGATCCTGTAAGTGGGGTAAAAGTGAGTGGATGAGGGTGATGTTAAAGTTCTTAACCTGAGAATCTCAAAGAACAGTGGTCACTTTGACAGAAGTAGGAAAGTTTGGAAGGGACTGGGGTGAGGATAATAAGTTGTTCTAGATGTGTTGACATTGAACACCTTTGGGACTTCCAGTTGGAAAGGTCCAATAGGCAACCAGTAATGTGGGACCAAAGCTCAGGGGAGGACCAGAACTGGATATATAAATCTGTAGGTCATCTGCATAGAGATGGTAATTAAGCCTATTGGAGTTAATAGATCACTGAAGGAGTGTAGAAAGAACTAAACCACTTCTTTGTCTTCACTGTGACATCTATTCTCTCCATTTACCAGTAACCTCCTAGGCTAATAAACCTGCTTTGATTTTGCTTTTCAATCTTGATCCTTTTTAATCTTGACCCTATCATTAACAAGTTCTGAAAAATAAGACAAATTTTACAATTTTGATCAGTGTCTTGGTTCCAATACCTACGTGACACTCACCTCTGGCATGACTGTTGATGTAAGTTACTAATGCCTGTCTTACATAACTATTAGTCTTTCCTCTGGTTTAAGAGGAAACCTCTCCTGACTTTTTATGTCAACAATATGTCAGCAATACAAATTAAATTCTTAGAACCAGGGGAATTCTCTGTCATCTATGTAAGTACACTGAATGGTATAGATGATGATTAATAATTAGATATAATAGGGCTTCCATGTGCTAAATAAGTACCATCAGCCGCTCCTAAACTATCACCTCAGTCACTTCCTAAGGATAATTAATTGGCCAGGGATATTAATTTTAAAATAGTTGTTGTGTAAGGTGTGCTGGCACACAGAGGGTAAAATAAGTTGGGAAAGCAGCCACCAGTAATGACTGAACCCTCTGCAACGTCTTCTTTAACCATAACATTCATCATGGTTCCCGGGCACCTGGACTGCTCCGAGGAAGGTGGCTGTTGTTGTTTAGTTGTTTCAGTTGTGACCCCATTGGGCGTTTTCTTGGTAAAGATACTGTAGTGGTTTGCAATTTCCATCTCTGTCCAAGTAAGGTACAGTCTGTCATCCCTAGCCCGATCGCAGGTCATTCTGCCATTTTCCAGTAAGCGACTCTGTACGTTTATAGAAGCTACGTCTGTCCATAATTAGATCTATCAAATCAAATTTCAGTCTTGACTACTAGTGGCGATATTTTAGAGGAAATGCACATTTCATGAAAGGAAGGGTTCAACTGAATGACCATTTAACTCTGTGACTTCTGGGAAACACCAATGACCTTACCTCAGGAATAGCACTGCCCATCACTAGCCAGGCTTTTTTACCTAGGGCCAGAAAATAATTACACAACAGCACTGCGTGTTCTTCTTCATCTCCCGCCAGAAGATCAAGAAATTGCTAATAAAGAAAGACACAGTTTACTAAATAGATTGGCAGCTTAATCATTTGGCAAGCTCTTATTCACTTTCAACATGGCATATTTTTTTTGAAAATTGCCTTTAGTGGAAAAGCCTTAATATAAAAATCCTCAATGAAATGTTTAATGCAGAACAAAGAAATCACTCAACTTGTGCAAGAAATACTCCACTGACGTAGATAATGGTAGGGACAGGCAGAATGCTTATGTGATTACTGCAAATAGATAGTAAAAAAAGACAAGCCTAATATGTTAGATTCTACCCTGAGAAAAAATACATGCTTTGAAAGTGTCTTAGGTGAAAAAAAAAATGGATATCTCTTAAAATTACCAATCTAAACTTATGGATTCTCTAAAATTACCAGTCTAGATGTTGTCAAAACATATTGTGAAACAATTTAATGAATTCATTTAAATACCTTTATTCTTGGACTCTTTGGTTTGTACCCAATAAGGAATTGTGTATTGAGATGGCACCTGATTTATGGGATATTGTGATAGATACAGGTTCTTTTTTGTTTTATTTTATTTTTTAAAGGAAGTACATTAAATGCAGTGAATAAGCAGTAGAAATTCTTTCTGATGAAAACTGCATGCCTACACGGATGCTTGATCTTAAGAACCTAAGGAAGAACTGGCCCAGTACCAGTGCCAGGTGGAATAAAGGATACAAGACCACTGAGAAAGTCTAATGATGACTGGTGGGTGGGAAGAGGTTGGAGGACTTCCTAATAATTTCTAAGCTCAAAGAAGGATGGATTTGTTAATGGGCAATTAAGGAAGCAAGGGGGACACCTGGTTGTGAAACTGAAGAAGAGAGAGTTGAAAAAAAAGGGGATCTGCCTACATGTGCTTCGAGGTGGTATTTAATGCTCTGCAGGTTCCTGTATTAATGGACAGACCTGAGTTAGACTAAGAGCACGCTCCAGGACACTAGGTTGCTAGAAGGCACAGTAGATAGAGAGAGTGCTTAATCTATAGTCAGGAAGACCCAAGTTATTAATTTAATTTAAGATGCTTTCTAGCTTTGTGACCTTGGGCAAGTCTCTTGACCTCTGTCCACCTTAGTTTTCCTCATCTGTAAAATTGGAACAGTCACACCTACCTTCCAGAGTTGTTGTGAGGATCAAATAAGATAAAATTTGTGAATTACTTTGCAAGCCTTAAAGTGCAAAATAAATGCTAGCTATTGTTATTATTCTCAGTGCCAGGTGCTTAATCAACATTTTATGTCACCTTAATAAAGTCTAGGTAACAGTTAAGTTTGAACAAATATATGAGGAAGAATGAAAAATTGTCTTTACTTACATCTGATGTGCTCCATAAGTCACAGATCCCAGTAAACGAAACACTGTCAGGCAAGAAAGGAATCAAAGCAACGTATCTGGCCACCAGCTCCTACAGAATGACAAAAAGTGTGAGTGTTTTGTGTTTGGCAAACTTTATGCCAGATAAACCATTCCCAAACCATACTTACTGCACTTTGGTTATTATCCTTGACCTCTTTATCACCTTCCCACTAGAACCTGGGAGTCTGATCCTGGGACCACTGTGGGTTCTGACAGGTGAGTTTTCATTTTAAAGGGTCTGCTCTCACCTTAAATTTTGTCTAGAATCAATCCTCCATGTCATTTCTTGACCATACCCAAATCATGCTGTCTGCGCTCTGGCCTCAAGCTGCAACCTCCTCATTTCCTCCCCACTGAAACCTTGGAGTCTGACCTTGGGACTACCCTGGGTTCTGATAGGTGAACTTTCCCTTTATTATGCCTGGAACCAGGACACTGTGTCACTTCAAAGTAGTTTTGGAGGGGTGGTATTGATAACAGAGGGAGGGGAATCAGGAGTAGAGATGTCATAAAGAAGAGGTTGCTTGCTCTTCATTTTTAGGGAAGAGTGGGAGTTCTGAGTAGGAGCTAGGGAGGGAGTGCCTTCCAGGCATAGAGGACAGACAGAGCAGATACACAGAGCTGGAGATGGGATATTGTTTGTGAGAATCACTCAGTCAGTAAACATTTATTGCCTACCATGCCAGGCACTGTGCCAAGTGCTGGGGATACAAAAAGAGGCAAAAGACAGCCCCTTCCCTCAAGGAGCTCACACTCTAATGGGTGAGACAACAGATGAACAGATAGGTACAAACAAGCTACATACAGGATAAATAGGAAATAATTAAAACAAGGAGGGCACGGAATTAAGAGAGGTTGGGAAAGGTTTCTGATGAAAGAGAAGATTTTAGTTGGAAGCCTGGGAGGTCAGTAGTCAGAATGGAAGTTAGCGTACCAATGCATATTGAAATCTTTACAATTTATGATCTTTGAGAGTTTCTTGGGGAGCACTGAGAAGTTACTCAGGGCAATGTGATATATATATATGTATATATCTCAGAGGCAGAACTTGAACCCAGGTCTGACCCCAAGGCTAGCTTTTTGTACTTTACATTGCCTCAGAGATAGGTATTAACACTGTATTATTACCATTTTACAGATGAGAAGACAGGCATAGAGAGATTAAGTGATTTGCCCAGGGATTTTAGTAAGAGTTAGAGGCAGGATTTGAACCCAGGTCCTGCTGAACTTCAAGAGTTATACTAACCCTATAGAAATGCTGTACACGTTGTATATCTAGATTTTAGCAAAGCATTGGCAAAGCCTGCCATGCTATACTTGAATTCCAGCCTGCTCTTTAAAAAATGCTACCTACTTCAGGAAGCCTTCTTTGATTTCTCCAGTTGGAAGCGATCTTTTCCTCTTCTGAACTCCATTTGTACCTTATTTGTATCTCTTTTATGATCAGTTGGGGAGACCCTTCCTCCTGGAACATTCTTTCCATTTTTGGAAGGAACTCTAAACACCAGGAAGTTTTCCCTTACATCCAACCTAAATTTGTCTCTTTCCAACCTAGGATCATGGAATCAGCACTCTAGAAAAGATCAGAGATTATCTATTCCAACATCATTATTTTAAGATGAGAACACTGAGGCTTAGCAAGTTCAAGGTGTTTGCTCAAGGTCATATCAGTGATAAACACCAGAGACAGAATCTGAACCCAAGTCCTCTGACTACAGTCATTTCTTCTGCTGAGCCATCTCCTATTCATCTTGCCTAGTTGTTTTCTGTAGGCCTAAGCAGAACAAAGATAATTCCTACAGAATATGGCCTTTCATCTAAGTGGAGACAGCCACCATTTTCTCCTTACATCTTCTTTGCCAGGCTAAATACTGCCAGTTCCCTTAACTGATCCTTACGTGGCAGGACCTCAAAGCTCTTCACCATCATGGCTGCCCTACTCTGGAGGTTCTCCAAATCATCCATGTCCTTCCTAAAATATGGACTAAATTCAGTACTGAATGCAATATTCCAGATGTCTGTATGCTTCAAGGCAGATGATAGGGGAACTGTTACCTTCCTAATCCTAAATTTATCCCAAGATCACATTAGCTTTTTTGGGCTTGGGCTGCTTTTTTTTTCTTTTTTCTTTAATTTTATTTTGTTGTTTAAACAAGTGCCAAATAAAATGACTATTTCTGGGATTCCTTGTCTGCCTTTTTTTGTTGTTGTTGTTGGGGAAGAACACTAGAACTAATTTTACTGGTATAGGGAAATTCTGGTAAGGAAACTCCTTCTACCAATGCAGATTAATACTTTCTCTTCAATTTATAGTTTATATTATAGAGTTACATGTGGCCCTGAGAGGTTAAGTGACTTATCCAGAGTCCCACAGCCATGGTATGTCTGCGGCAAGACTTGAATCCAGGTATTCCCAACCCTGAGGCCAGCTCTCCATCTACTATACCCTGCTGTCTTTTACTGCCAATGCAATAAATCTGTTTAACTCCTTTTGGACTTTCAGTCTACTGAAGCTCCCTCATCTTTCTTAAACTAACTGCTGTCTTGTCACTCATCTTTAACCTAGTTCTTCTGAAGCTGAGTTTTTGAACTCAGGTAAGACATTATCCTTATCCTTAACTGAAGTTAATTTTATTAGATTTGGCCCAAAGTTCTGGCCTATTGAGATCTTTTTGGAGCCCAACTCTGTCATCTAATAGGTTAACTAGCTTTTTTTGCTTTGTGTTATATGCAGATTGGATAGGGATACTATCTATGCTTTTATCCAAGTAATTAGTAAAAATGTTAAATAGTACTGGACCAACTATTTATTCCTCTGACATTCAGTGGTTGATATCAAACTATTAATAACTATTTTTTTGTATTCAGTCATTCAGTAAACTCCAAATCAACCTAACCATAGTATTGCTAACGTACAATTAGCATTAGTATTGCTAACTCTACCTTAGTATCTACAATGATAGATACTATCTAAATCTTTGCTAAAATCTAGACAAAATTTATCTACAGCAATTACCCTGATCTACCAGTTTTGATATAAAAAATTCAATAAAGTTAGTCTGACATGATTTGTTCTTGATTAAACCATTCAGGCTCTTTGTCATCATGGCTTCCTTTTCTGGATATTTATCAACCATCCTTTTAGTAATAGCATCTACAGTTTTGTCTACAATAGCATCTACAAATTTGTCTAAATTTGATTCAGTGTTGAGTGAGACAGGTTATATGTTATGTTATGTCATATGTTATATGACAGAGTCAACATCTAAAAAAGTTATTGAGAGGCTAAAACAATGACTTGTAGCTAATAAGATGAAAATTGAGAGAGAGAAACTTTGAGAGCCCTTGGGTTCAAAAAAGTCATGTTAATACAGATGGGACAAGGGGATATGTTAAAGAGCCATCTTTATGATGCCATAGCCATCAAAGTGTCAAGTATGTGCCACACACTCCAAATTCCCATTCTCTTTTGTCACAGGACTGCCAAGAGAAGGGCGTGATATGAATTTATTAAGTAAGTGCTAATACCCATTCACAAGTTAGAAAGACCCCTGTAGGTTAAAAGTCTCAGTTAAAGTTAGAGGACCACCTTTGGGTCATTGTACTGAGTAATGGTAAGTAAGCACCTCCTGCTTAGAAAAGCAGACTGCACAGCCCAGATTTGGGAATACTGGAGTCTGTGGTGATGACGCCACTCTTGTGGTTGTCTCCTGATCCTGTATATCCTTTCAGGAAACTTTACCTAAGACTATAGCAATGAGTCATAGAAATAGCTTGTAATTTTTGCAGCTAGGGTAAGCCATGGTGGGACGAGGAGAGGGAGGCCACCCCAGGATACTGGGAGGTTGCTGTATTTCCAGGGATAAGGAAACCCATCTGGGGTGTGGCCCAGGGGCCTTGACCGTTTGTTGTGGTTCAGGGTATAGTCATTTACTTTACCTCTAAGCAAGATACAATTTGGGTAGAACAACTTAGAGAAGAGTTTATGTAGGAAAAAAAATTGGGTTTTAATGGCCTGTAAACTCAATATGAATAAACATTGTAACATAGCTGCCAAAAAATCCAATGTGCTAGGCTACATTAAAAGAGAAATGTTGTCAGACCGAGGGGAGTGAAAGTCCCATTGTTCCCTGCTCTGGTTAGGCCTCATATGGCATATTCAATTCTAGATGCTATATTTTGGGAAGAACATTGACAACTTGATGGAGCATGTCCATAGGATGTGGTACCCATAAGAAGACACCCATGATTGAAGGTATCTGGAACCCATCCCCCAAGAGGACTGGTCAAAAGGCATCAGGTTATTAGGTTCAGTGAGACAAGATCTAGGTGTGTAGTTGTTTTTAAATATCTGAAGAGATTGTGTGTGGGAGAGAGTTTAGATCTGTTAGCTCCAGGGGACAGAACTAGGAATAATATGATGTAGAAAAGATTCTTGAACAGTTACATGTAAGGCTAGATGTCTTCTGATGTCCCTTTTGACTCTGAGGTTCTGATACTATATGTAGATGAGTTTTGATTTGCTAGGTAGCTGCATCTGCCCTATGCTATCCACCTCATGAGAGTGGTTATAGGTTAGAAGTATTCATAAAGCGAAAACAATGTTAAGATCCTAGTGCATCCTGAGCTCACAAGGGAGGAACCCTAGAGCAATAAGTGACTTGCTGAAGTTACCACAAGTCAGTTTATCCCAGAGCTAGTACTAAAATATGGCCCACTTTTCCCTCTTCTAAACAAGTAAAGCATGGCCAAATTACTTTTGGTCTATTTGAATTTTGAAACTCTAGTTAAGATGCCTTGGAGCTTGAGACAGGCCTTTAATACTATATACTTACCTTTCTTGACCCCATAGGGGAAGACTAGAATGAATGGCAGGCTATTTCAGCTCTGTGTAAGGAAGTACTCCTTAACAGAGCAGAAAGGGCTGCCTCATGAAGTAAGTTCCAATGCTGCAGAGATATGTAAACATTATCTGGATCACTTATCAGGAATATTGAAAGAGGACTCATTCCTTGCACAATAGTTGTATCAGATGACTTCTAAGTTCTCTTCTTGTGCTACAATTCTATGCTTGATAGGGATAGTACAAAAATAGTACTATAAATTCACTTTGATTTCTGTCTTTAGGGTCTCCTCTGTGAAATAGCTATATTATGTAACTCATGATAACCCTTCAGATTCCCCTGAATGAGGATGTCCTCTTGGTGCTAAAGATTAGCCCCTCTGAACATGAAAATTTCTTAAGGTGGTTGTCATTTTAAGTGAAATTAAAATGTCACATTCTTGGTTAACAAGGACATTATTTAGGAATTAAATACTTACTGCCGTTGCTTGTGGATTATTGGGGTACATATCTAGGAGCTCCTGGGGTGGGTTTAAAGGCTTGAGATAACGTGTGATAAAAACTGTTTTCCCACTTAAGTTGGTCACGGTAGTGAGGCATTGTCGTTTTGGAAATTTCAAGACACATTCAACATGAAACTTCTCTGTTGCTTGAAGTAATTTCTCATCTTCCTGGGAATCAAACTTTAGAAAGATCATGGATCAATAGATAGTTATGGATACACGACAGGAAATGTTTATAGCCACAACATCCAACATGAATGAGAATCAAAGACATACAGCTAATGGAAGGATTTCTTACTCAGATGACTATTTTTACTTTTCTGTAGATTATGTGTATAACTCACCATGCTGTCAAGTAACTGTCCACAAAACTACCCAGCTCTTCTACTATACTGAAATGGCTACATTTGTAATATTTTTAAAAAGAAGAGCAATTCTTTAAAGTCATTCAATGCATTAAATAGCATTCATAGGCAGATTCTGAGTGGAGAGCTGCTAGTTAACGTAACAGTGTCCACTTCTTTAATAGAAGATGCATGACTAAAAATTCCATGAGCATCAACCTATGATGCACTAGGCAGATTGACAGAAACTGCTGCAACCACCAGCTGTGTGTGTCAGTGCTCCCCTCAAGCAAGTCTTACTGCTCTTGTTTTCAGGTTGCTAAAACTATCCTTTAGGCTTAAATTTCAAGAAAATTCTAAGCTTGCAAGTCTGCAGATGTGCCTATGTGTGTTTGGGAGTTGCAGATCCAGTTACATGGGGACAACCAACAATTCATCATCTCCAGAGAAAGGAAACAGAATCAGGACCACAAATCCATAGTGGTGATTTACAATGATTCACTCCAGGGTGAGTGACCAGCTGCCAGGGTCCTTAGGTAACTTCAAACAGATGTAACAAAGAGCGTGGCATGCTTGTCTAGAAACACGTTAGGGTCACAAAATCACTCAGATCATTGTTCCATTGTTGAAGTATGTTAACAAGATTAGACTATCCCCTCAACATTTTTATTAGCTGTTCATAAAAATAATATGTGTATGTGTGCTGATTTCCTATTTATAGTGTCTTTCATTTCAAAAGGCCTCAATTTGTCAAGCTTACTAACTAAAGAAAGCTATTTCTTAGTCCTTCTAATTGGTATTCATAGTTGAAATGTGAACCTTATTCTTGTATAATAGGGATGGTTGGGGGATACAGGGTGGAAATATCTCTACACTTTTTTTTTTGATGTCTAGTTTAAAGCCATAACTGCCATAAATGTTATCCCTCACAATAGGACTAACACTTAACATCTGTCTTTGGCTTGGCGTGAGAAAAAGAGGGAGCGTTTAATTATAGAACCAGAATTTTAGAGTTCAAAGGGAGATTAGAGGTCATCTAGTATAGCCTTCCTTTGTATGCAAGAATCCCTTCTACAAAATCCCTCAACTGTCAGCTTCTATTGGAATGCTTTCTGTGATGAGGAACTCATTATATCTCCCAAGGTAGGCCATTCCATTTTTGGACAGCTTTGATTGTTAGTAACTTCCTTATGTTGAATCAAAATCTATCTTCCTGTAATTTCCACCCTTTGGTTTTACTTTTGTTCTCTTGAGCCAAACAGAAAGAACCGAATCCCTCTTCCACATGACAGGTTTTCAAATAACCGAAAACAACTATCACATTTCCTCCTCCTCCCCCAAGACTTTTTTTCTCTAGACTAAACCTTCCCTCTTCCTTCAACTGTTCCTCATCCAAAGAGGTTTTGAGTCTCTTCACCATCTGGGTAAACTCCCAGTTTTGAATTATCCCTCTCAGATTGTGGGGCCTTTTACCAAACATAGTGTATGGATATGGCCTGACCGTTGCATTGGATAGAGCACTGGGTCTAGAGTGTGGAAGACCCGAGTTCAAATCTGACCTCAGACACTGTGTGAACCTGGGCAAGTCACTTAATCCTGTTTACCTTAGTTTCCTCATCTCTAAAGTGAGCTGGAGAAAGAAATGGTAAACCACTCCAGTATCTTTGCCAAGAAAACCCCAAATGGGGTCACAAATGACTGAAATGACTAACCAAAGTAGTTGTTATCTGTGTTTTAGAACATAGGCTGGTGATGCTTCTAGGAGAAAAATACAGAGGCTTGAAGAACACTTCCCAGTTGTTCATGTTTTCAGGTAAAATGAACTGTTCCTAAGAAAAAAGATTTGAAGAGAGACAGAGGGAAATTCTGACCTGTTTCTGGAAGCCACAGGGGAGAAACATGTGACATAGAGGGGAAAGGGAAGAAGAAGGGGCATTGACCACTTGAAGCTAAGTAATAGATATAAATTCTTACTGAACAGGAGGGCATAGAGCCTTCTGAGGAGTAAGGAGTTGTTTGTTGCAGGTGTGATGATATATATGGATCCCCAAGGTGAGATAATGTCTACTGAGGGTTAGAGGAAGAAGAGCCAAGTCCTAGCTGCCCACTCCCTGCTGAAGGGTTGGTATTAAAGTTGCGATTGCTGAAATGATAACAACAGATTTTGTGCGTTGCCACCATCTTTTTAACTTGTGGTTCACTGTCCAAATCTGCCTTTCTCTGCTAAAGCCTTTGTCATCAATCACCAGATGACATCATTACCTCTGCTCCCCAAATCTTCCATTTCTTGATCAAGACTTCACGTTGTTCAGTTGCTTTTCAGTTGTGTCTGACTCTTTGTTACCCCGTTTGGAGTGTTCTTGGCAGATGCTGGAGTGGTTTGCCATTTCCTTTCCCAGCTCATTTTATAGATGAGGAAACAGAGGCAAACAGGGTTAAGTGACTTGCCCAGGCTCACACAGCTAGTAAATGTCTGAGGCTGGATTTGAACTCAGTGAGATGAGTCTTCCTCACTCCTGGACCAGCACTGTATCCAATGTGCCACCTAGTTACCTGTTCAAATTGTCAGGCACAAATGAATTACATCCCAGGATATACAAAGTAATTGGTGCATTTGATTGCTATGTCACTGTCAGTGATCTTTGAAAGACTGTTGCTTTCACACAGGAAGCAAATTTTATCTTAATTTTATAGTAAACTTGACTTAAGTTATTGGCAAAATTCTAGAACCTTTAATTGGGGCATGTTATGGTTGGTTAGTGAACATTTAGAAAAGGAAGTGAGAATAATAAAGAGCCAGAATGGCTTCTTAAAATCAAGAGTTCCAGACTAGTTCAATTTCTTCTTTTGACAGTGGTAGCTCAGAGCAATGGGGTGGAGAGAGTTTACCTAGATTTTAGCATAACATTTGATAAATTCTCTCAATAATCATATCTATCGGTGGTGTCAAATTCAAATATGAAAGAATCACTGTTGGCTGCATATTGACTTAGAAATCTACAAATTAACATTATTTGTTCTATTGTATTTTTATTTATTTTGTTAAACATTCCCCATTGTAGTTTGCCTGGTTCAGGCTTGGGGATTTTGTGGCTGCTTGTGATCTGCAGGCTATGTGTTTGACACCTCTTTTGTAGACTAGCTAGGTATATGTAAACTAGATGACAACATAGTTAAATAGATTCAAAACTAGTTGAGTAGCTGGACCTCAAAATTGATTTGATGACAATTTGATAACAATTTGGAAGGAGGTCCACTCTCTGGTGGCATGTGACTGGTATTTGTGATTGGCTCTGTTCCCATTAGCATTTTTGTCAATTACTTGCACCATAAGACGCTTATCAAATGTGCAGGTGACACAAAGTAGGAAGGCCTGTTAACAGCTGTATGAGAGAGTCAGGAGCCATAAAGATAGGCTAAAACATTGATCAATTAGAATAATATAAACCATAAAGGGATAAATATAAAGATTTGCAGTAGGGTTCAAAACTCAACTTCAAAAATACATGATGGGGACAGCATGGCTAGACAGGTCATCCAAATAGATTTGGAAGCTTAGATTATATTCTAACTACAAGTCAACAGAATGACGCAGGAGAGAGAAAGCTAACGTGACCTTAGGCTGCATGAAAAGAGGCTAGTATTTAGGACTAAGGGGATGATAATTCTATTTTACTTTGTCCTATCTAGGAATCTGGGTATATAGATCTGGAATATTGCCCTCAGTTCTGGACACCGTAATTTAAGGACATTAAATTAGGGAAGATACTTAGGTTGGTGAATGTCTTTGAGCCTATGTCATACCAGAGTCCATTAGCCTGGAGAAGGGAAGCCCAAGGGGAAAACAATAGTTGTCTTGAAAGGAATGTCATGTAGAGGACAATTTGACAATTTAATTTAAATTGTTCCTTTGGGTATGAGAGGAAAAATCCAGAAGCGATAGGTGAAAGTTGCAAAGGAGACAAATTTAGGTTTGATATCAGAAAAACAAACAAACAAACAAACCAAAAAACCTTTCTGCCTATCAGAGCTATCCCACAATGGAATGGTTTGCCTTGAGAGGTGATGGCTTCCCATTCATTGGAGATCTTCAAGGAAAGCCTGGATAAACCCTTGTGTATGTAGGGGATTCTCTTTCAGGTAGGGGGTCAGTTGTCTCTGAGATCCTTTCCAAGTTTTTGAAACTTTACAGTTATGTGAAGTGTATCTGGAAGAGGCTAGGCATACACACTAAGACTTAAAGCTTTCAAAAGTAGAGGAGAAGAGAAAGCTGTCACTTCAGGACTAATAAATAAATATTGCCTGGTTTATTATAAAATAAAATATTCATTACCTTCTTTAGCATGTCAGTCATCTATCAGAAGCAAGGAAGAGAAAAAATAACAGGCAAAACAGTGTAATAACAGAAATATAAAGTTAAAAATGGAACTATTCAGTTTCTTTTGCCAAAACAGTACAATGAAAGAACTGCTAAAATAGAGAAAGGCATTCAGCTTCTACACTTCTACACTTATTTTTGTTTAAAATTTTTCCATTCAGAAATAACTTGAAAAATGGCACAGAAAAATCTACTTGGTTCCTAACGTGAATATGAAGATTGATACTCCATTCATCATTCCTATAAGTTCTCAAAATGGAAAAATGCATCCAAATCCTACATCATACTCCTTTTCAGTGGCTGTTTTATGGCCAGAGCTCCTCTTTCCTGAAAAGATCATTTGAAAACAAACAATTCCTGCTCTCTCCACCTCTTCTTGTAGAATGATAGCCATACTGGGTGTGGCTCTCATCAAAAGGCATAAGAGCATCTTGCTGAGGTTTTGGTATATAGCTAAGTCCATGTGCACAAGGATCATGCTTTCTGTGACCACACTGGGGCAGTGAGGCACCAAAAAAGCGAGCAGATTGGAAAATTTACAACATTTTTGCAAAGGGAGGAAAGAATGTACAAAATTGTGTTTACAAAAAAAAAAAAAGGAGAGAGGCTTAAAGGACACTGGAGCACAATTAAAATTCATGAAAAATGATGTCAATGTCTGTAAAGTATGTGCCAGGATGGAAGGAATCTTAAAATGTATTAATTCTTTCAGCCATATTCACATACCTTGGCAAACCCATGTGAAGACAACACACTTGAAAAAAACGCAAAACACCACTTCCAGCTCGAAGCCTTACTAGACTTTTCTATCTTCTGATCTGCAGCCTTGTCCCAATCTGGGCATTCTCCTGCACTCTCCCCATCCTTCCCCTCCAAGCTTTCCAATTTCCCATTATGTATTGTCTTCAGCCATTAGAATATAAGCTCTTGAGAGTAGGGGCTGTCTTGTTTGCTTTACTTACATCCCCAGTACTTCACTGTTTTTGGCATACAGTTAATAAATTCTCTGTGTATCTATCTGTCAGTCTGCCTGCATGCCTGCCTATATATCTATACCATCTATTTACATCATTATATCATTCCTCTTGCTCTATCTCTGTCAACCTGTCTTTCATTCTAAAGTAGAGGTGTCAAACTCTTGAATTGGCTGAACCAGATTAAAATATAATTGGGAAATCTTTAACAAAATAAAAGAATATGATGTAAATAATACTAATTTGTGGTTTTCTATGTCAGTAGTTATTTCAGGGGTCTGTTTCTATTTGAGCTTGACACCACTGAGCTAAAGCATACATCGGGAAGATCCTTCAGAAAGTCCTGCTCAGATGTTTCATTGTGACATAGAAGTGACCCAGGAGTCTTAGTGGTCAGTGAAATACCAGCCTGGGCAGGTCCTACTACTCTGGAAAGGTTTTGAGTACAGACCCTGCAGTAGACCAAATGTCTGGTAAGTTGGAGAGGCTCATCATGAGAAAATTGGCCAACAGGTGATGAATTCTTTTGGCCATTTTATCTCCTGCTAAATAAATTCCTGTAGCTTATTACTTAAAGGATCAACTATAAAATCCTCAGCCATTTAAAAAACCTTTACAACCTGGTCCCTTTCTATTTTTCCAGTCTTCTTACACCTTACTTCCCTCCACATACTGTATGATATAACCACACTGGCCTCCTTATTCTACCTTGAACACAATGCCTCATTTCTCTACCTTGTGCCTTTTCATTGGCTTCCCTTTCCTTCAAGACTCAGATCACACATCACTATATGCAAGAGGCTTTTCTCAGTCTCTCTCCGCTTCACCCCTACAGCTAGTGCCTTCCCTCTGAGATCAACTCTAATTTACCTTGTATATATCTTGTATGTGTATAATTGTTTACAAGTTGTCTCTACCATTAAAATGTGAATTCCTTGAGGATAGGGTCTGTGTATTTTGCCTTTCTTTATATCTTCAGTGCTTAGCATAGTGTCTGACATATAGTAGGAGATTAATAAATGATTGTTGATTGATTGAAAGGACTGTCTCCTGAGTCTTGGAGAGGTTGTGATCTATGTCAGTGGAGGAAGACCCCACACTGATGAAATCACAAATCCTTGAATTATTTAAATAAACATAGGAAAAATATCCTTTTCCTTAGAGCAGATGTTTGTGGAGTTAAGCTTATGTCCTTGTCTTGGATGTTATTATTTCTGGTTTACAGATGTAGAAAAACATAAAAATATATAAATATATTTTCTCTTTTAAGAATATTTTGAAATAGATGACACCAAGTGCTTCCTAGTGAACAATACTTTTATTCAATGAAAAGCATATCTACTATATAAATTATCTTAAAATTTGGTAAATAGAGATAAAATTAAAATTTCTTTTATGTTATTTTATTAATTCAGACTAAGAAAGAAGAGAATTAGAAGACTGCACTTCCATGTGAATCTGAATCCATCTAATAAAGTACCAAAAGTAGATCTAAGAATATATTTGAGCTGGGGTATGTTCATAGAAAGGCAATGATAAATGGTTTTCCATCTTCATTGAAGTCAAGACAAAAAGAAACCATCTTAAACTGAAACAAGAGTGAGATTGTGCAGATTGTGAACTTCAGGAATAGCTACCAATGAAGTCTATGAAATCACCTTTTTTGGAAGTCTCTGAAAATAAATAAACAAGTAAACAAAGAGAAGATAAGAAAACCTAAACCCATGCTTTTGTTTGGCTCTTCCTGCCTGAAGGCACTGGGGGTGACCTCTTAAGGACATCTGGTCTTATGATAGGTTACTGATATAATCAAACATATGGGTCTAGAGAGAGAAGCATATTTCACAACCTATTTCCTTTTTGATCTATTTTTGTGATTCAGTTCAACACTAAAAGTATAAAGTCATTGTGGGTCCAAGCCAGAAAAAAAACATGCCCAAATAAACATTTCTGTTAGCCTCATATGCATAAAATAACACAATCTGTTTGTATGCACAGGGGATAGAATTTTTAAATGATTGACCGAAATCACTGATTGGTTTACACAGTTGGAAACCATTTACCTTTTCTCGAACTGACTCCCCAGGCACAAGGTGAGGTTCAATAGTCATAAAGAGTGTGATATAGGTGCCTTCACTCAGACTTCTGACAGAATCGAAGCCCCTTTCGCTAATTATGTTTCTCTCTTTACTGTAGCCCAGGAGAACCGGGGGAATATCTATTTTAAAGGTACCATCAATCTGTGAGAAAAAATAAAATTCAATAAATCTCCTCATGGACAGTGCAAAAGTAACAATCACCAAACACAAGATATCTCATAAAATCTGTTTCCTCAAGGCACAAAAAAGGTACAATATAGTATTTCAGCGGCATGACAATGGGCAAGCCATTTCTCCTTCTCTGTCTTGTTTTCCTTCTCTGTACACTGCCCTGAATGATATCTACTTTCTTTCCAGCTCTGGAAGTCAGTGGATCTGGGTTCTGATTCCCCCACTGATATTTCTGCCTTAGTGAACTTGTGTAAGTCACTGAAGTCTCCCTGGCCCTCGATTTTCTAATCTATAAAGTGAGAGAATTGGACTCAATAGCATCATCGGCCCTTTCTAACTGTAGAATGATGAGTCTGTGGATTTGGCTAGGGTCTTCTATGATAGTAGCTTCTATGAACAATATCAGATAGTACCAACAAGCAAGTGTGTTTGTTCTGGGAGCTGAAATTCACAAAAGTGAAGTGTACCCAATTTAAAGATTTATCCTTATTGATAGATTTCCATATCTGAAAAGCTAATGAGATAAAATGAACTTTTAGAATGTGACAATTGCCCTTTAGGTTAAATTGAGCTCTTCTCTGTTTGAAGATATATTTTTCCTAAGTTATAAAGGCATTTTGCTCCATAACCTGGAACAAAAACACGTTAAGTGGTATGGGATTTTTAATTTGCAAAAGGAAAGTATCATAAGAGAGTTTTAGTACAGCTGCCATTTTGCCTAAGATATCTAACTTTAGACCTGGTGCTAGGTGGTTAGTTCCTGCTCTTTCTGCAAGTGTCAGCTTAGTATTTGCTGATTCAGTTACTATTTTACCTGATGTAGATCTTTCCCTCCTACTGTTGATTCTTTGAGGTTTAATTCTTTACCTTCCCCTTTGACTTCTGGAAAATTCCAACTATATCTTTCATGCTGATATAAGTAAAGACCGTATAAGATTTTTGGAAATGCTGCTTGTGGCCCATTGGTTTTTGTGTACCATGGGACTGTGCTCTGAGAATATGATAAACTGGTTATTAAATGTCTCCATTTGTTGATAAGTACTATTGTCAGCGGTACCTATCAATAAATAATTTTAGAAATCATTTGTATAATTTAGAAGTCCATGCAAAAAGAATCCAAGTGAAGAAATTACTCTTGGAGAGTTTAGTGCTTATCTAGATAAACACTTCATTGCATTAACAGTTACCCATTGTTAGTTCTGCTTAATGAGAATGATTGTCTTGACTGAGATGGATAAATGTTCATCTTGACACTGCATGTAATCAGATTTGAAATTTGAGTTCTAAACCATGAATCACAGAATTTTAGACCTCAGAGATGATTTGGTCCAGCCCTCTTGATTTTACAGATAAGAAAACTGGGGCCTATGGAGGGGGGGAATGAATACTTCCAAATCACACAGCTAGTTTTTCATAGAATCAGAGTTGGAAGGAATTTTAAAGGTCATTTTTAGCCTAGCCCCCTACCTGAGGCATGAATTTCCTCTATAACATACCAGACCAGTACCACAAAGTTGTTCTGTATCTAGTCTCCTTTGGTAATGTTGCTTCTAGGCAACATTGGGTTGCTCCTTTGTTGGCTGGTAAAGATTAGCTACAACCCTAAAACTCAGGCCTACTGTTGCCATGGATGTAGTCTCAGGCTATCTAGGGCACTAAATGGATTAAAGCTATTTCAGGAGAGAAATATTAAAGCAACTAAAGATTTAACTCAGCAAATCCTCTTAAGTAAATCCTCCAACTCTGCTGAAGTGTGTATTTCTTGGGTGTGTCTCTATCAGTTTTTTCCCCTACTTCCTCAATTGTGAATATTGATGGCAACTGATTTTTGATTGTCCTTGCTCTCAAACATATTTTGTTCTTTTCTACTTTCTCCATTTATACCTATTAAATTCCTACCTATCCTTTAAAGCAAAACTCAAATGCTACCTCCTTCTCTGATCCAATGCCCGTAATGACCTTCCCTAATAGGAAGCATTTCATTTTTATACCTCTCTAATGCATGCATCTCTATCTCATCTCTCTTATAGACAATAAGGTCTTTGGGGGCAGTGAAATGTCTTATCACAACTTTGTATCTTCCCCAGAATTTAGCAGTATTCTGCTCACAGTAAACACTTAGTAAATATTATTGAATGAATATTATAATTTTCTGTTAAGTTCTGTTGTTGAATGAATACCACAATTTTCTTCAAAGAACTTGCATATTCATTCACTTTTACTATTCTGGCCAGTTTTTTAAATTCAGGGCACTTTCTTATCTTCTGCTAGTATTTAATTGTAAGGAAATATATATATATATATATATATATATATATATATATACACACACACACACACACACACACACACACATATAATATATATATGGGCGAAGAGATAAGGGAAGAAAAAGAGAGCTTGTTTTAGTAGCCAATTACTGAAATATAAGTCAATAAACATTTATGAAGCACCTACTATGTGCAAAGCACTGTGCTAAGCACTGGTGATATAAAGAAAATGTGTATTTTATAAGTCACACATATGACAAAAATAAGCACTGAGTGATGACTATAATTATACCACCTTCTATTTGCATTATAATTTGGGATTTTTAAAGTGTTTATTTATGTATTATCTTAGTGCCTAGAACAATTCCCCCTAGACTACTCCATTTTAAGAGGTAGAAGCTGATGGACTAATTCACTCTAATGAATTCTAAAACTGCCCACATACTTTCCCTATTCCTAAAGGTGACCTAATTAAAAACTACTCTATTGACACATTTGTTGTGATTTTGTAATGAAAATATTCCAGCACTAAATTTCAAATACTTACCCTGCCCTGAAAATATAAAGTGCTAAAGGGAATTCGAACGGATCCCAGCCAATGTCTCTCAATTCGGGTGTGAATGCCGCTTCCTCTTTCACGATCATCCTAGAGAAGGTATAAAAATTGGTACCAGTAAATTAAAAACCACATAAATGTCATTATTTGATAAATGTTGGAGAGGTTTCTTTGTTGTACTAGCTTCTTCAGTGGTTAAAAGGAATAAGACAAGATAGGTTTTGTACTAGTGAGACTTAGGCAACTTAAAAAGTCAACTCACATTTAAGATCCTCAGAATTTCTGGCTGGGAAAGAAACCCCTTTCTGAAGCTGTTATCTATCGTAGTTGACTTAGAGGAGGGAGAGCGTAGGTTCAGGAAAACTTGTGGAGAATCAAGATGGCAAAGTGGAAAGAAAGCTGGATTTGAAACTAGAAGATCTTAGTTCAAATCCCGTCTTTGTACTTAAATCTCTCTGGACTTGAGTTTCCTCATCTGTAAAATGAGCTGGAGAAGGAAATGGCAAACCACTCCAGTATCTTTGCCAAGAAAACACCAAATAGGGTCAGTAAGAGTAGGACACAGCTGAAACCTATTGAACATAAACTTGATCAGAGGTGTCAGACAACTGCTGTAGGCTACATTTGGCCTTCAGCAATCCTCTGCAGCCCAAACCATATAAAAATGCCCATTGGGAAATATTTAACAAAATAATCAAAAATATCATAGAATATAGATAATGTTAATATATAGTTTTCTAAGTCAATATGTGGCCTTGGGATCCTTGTGCACAGTTTAGTGGGCCCTGTTTCTATTTGGGCTTGACACCTCTGGTCTAGATGACTTCTCAGCTCCCTTCCAGTTCTCAGTCTGTAGATGTGTGATTACTGCAAGAGTTCAGTTCAGTTGGATCACAGTGAAGGCCTCTACTTGGTAGTGGCAGTAGGAATAGTGATTGGGGGGTGGATTTAGGTGATGTTTTATAAGCAGAGTTGACAGAATTTAGTAGTATTCTGTGGCCTTAAAACCTTGAATGATCTTTTAACATCAAAGAGAGATTTGGTTGTATGCATTAGATTCTATTTACTAAGGCAATAAATGAGCTTACTTTTTTGTGTGTGTGTGAGGCAATTGGGGTTAAGTGACTTGCACACAGCTAGTGAGTGTTATGTGTCTGAGGCTGGATTTGAACTCAGGTCCTCCAGACTCCAGGGCTGGTGCTTTATCCACTGCACCACCTCATTGCCCCCATTTTTTTCTTTTCTTTTTTTCTTTTTGGTGAGGCAATTGAGGTTAAGTAACTTGCCCAGGGTCACACAGCTAGTAAGTGTCATGTGTCTTAGAATGGATTTGAACTCAGTTCCTTCTCACTCCAAGGCCAGAGCTGTATGCACTGCACCATCTAGCTGCCCTGAGCTTAGATGTTTTAAAAAAGTTTTTAAACTATGACTGAAACTAAAAGGGTTTACTTCCTAACTGTTAGTCATGCAAACATTTCATTTTATCAGAATGGCATGTTATACTGAAGAATCAAGTTATTATTTGAAGAACTAATAAAAATTATCTAGATAGCCCATTCTTTCAGAATAAATATCTATAGGGTTTGTGTGTGTTTTTGCCAAATCCTAGGTAATTCATTAACATGCCACTGTGTAGAGAGTCTAGAAGTAATAGTTGAACACTTTCCAACAAGAACTTGGAAAACTGGCTTAATTTTGCCACTGACTTATGGAGAAAATTAGGTTCATATTGTTAGGGATATTGCAGTTTAGAGAAATAAGGAAAAACTGAAGGGTATCCCTAACATGCCTTGGCATTAAACACACAAACACACAAACATACACACACACACACAATCTAAAGACCAATTCTGTGGCAAATTCAGATCATTTTTTTTCTAGCTTAATATCTTGTTACTTGCCCATTATCAAACTACGTTTAATTTGAACTCCTAACCTTGCCACTCATTAGAATCCTCTCGGATGCTATTGCAGTTCTTGGTTTTAAGAATGTTTTTGTGTCATTTACAGCCTCCTGCCCCTGCCCCTTTCAACAAAATGGCTCTAGTTTTGGAGCTTGGCTTGATCTTGGACCCTTGCCAGCAAAGGAATGCCTTGACTGCAGTTTGTGAGCAGGAGGGGAAGTGACCAGAAATTTGACAACTCTTTTCTCTCTGATCCTCAAATCAGAAATGTTGATTTAGTACCATGAACCCCACTTATTCATCGTCTCTGACAGAACTCACTCAACTCACCCAATTCACCCATTGTTAGGATCAGAGTAAGCAATATACCTACAACCACCAGAAAATAGGAGAAATAGTATGGACTTCTTCCTCAAAACCATGAGCTTACCTCCAGGATGTCGTAGAGTACTTCATCAAAAATGTTAATGAATATATCATCCTTCACTGATTGCATACTGGCTGTGCTATAATCACTATTAGGAGCTCTATCAAAGAAAAATACAATCAGATTATTATAAAAATGAGTAAATCAGTGTGAAGGTCTGTGGGGGTGGGGGTGTTGATCATCAGGGGACTCCCCTGAGGAAGAAAGACTATAGAGAAGAGGTTGAAAGGCCAGGGGTGGGGGAGAGAGTGAAAAGGTTGAGCAGGTTTATCAGTTCATTTCTGAAAAATCCCATCCTTCTGAGTTTCAGCCAGCCAATCAGCTTGAGGATAGCACAAGTTCTTAGAACCTAATCAAAAGCCAGTCCTTGTTCTCTTAACTAGGCCCCAGTGGATGTGACTGCTTTCAGCATGGGGAAGTAGTTTCCTGATCCTAGATAAAGGTATATACCTTGTAAGCTTGTCATTTTTTGGGAGGAAATTAACCAAATTGATCAGGTCACTCCTCTGATCGACTTCCCTTACTCTAGAAATTATAAACAGAGCATTTTCCTCACAACTGTACAAAACAGATCATGCAAATAGAATTTTGCTCACTTCACAGAAAGAGCATTTGAGGCTTCGAGAGGTTGTCATCTATCTACTGTCATGTAATGCACAGAAACCATGTCGCGAAGTCAGGTTTTTTCATTTGTGGTAAGAACATTTTTCTGAATTGACTTTATGACTACCATTTCCTTAAGACAGCTAGTCACATCACTAGCCAGAGCATACAGAATTTAATTGAGACACCAAACTTTAGCTCAGATGATTAACAGGTTAGTGGTAAGAAAATTTCTGGCTTAACTTTATGACCTCTATTTACTTAAAATGAGGTATCAACTATAGCCCTGGTGCTATCTGATTTGTTTCTGTCCTGTTTGGAAAATTCCACCTTGAGATACCAGTTATAAGCTTCAGTGTTTACTAGCTAGTTTCCTGTTTTAACCTGATATAGATCATCCCTTTCTGCTATGTTCTTTGATATGTAAATGTTTAGCTTCCCATTCTTCCCTCTGTAAAATTCCAATTGTATCTATTCTGCCTTGTAATTAAACCTATAAAAGGTTGTCGAAAATGTTATTGGGGGCCCACTGATTTTTGTGTACCATGGGACTGTGCTATGAGCATATGATAAATTGGTTGTGTGTTAATAAGTATGATTGGCAGTAGTACATATTGACTCCTTGGACAATTTTTTATGTCATATTCTAGGTGCAAGAAAATAAATTAATGTGCAATTATACATTAAGCACCTAGTAGGTGCTAGTCACTGGGGATACAAAGACAAATATGAAGCAATCTCTGCCCTTCAGGAGCTTACATTTTATTGGAAGAGCTAACAAGTACATGAATAAGTTTATACAAAATAAATAATGGTAATAATAGTAGCTAACATTTCTATGTGCTGGGCATTGTGGTAAGTGCTTTATAATTATTATCTCATCAGATAATAAATTATGTAATGTAATTTTTTTTTTTGGAGGGGAAAAGGCAGTAGCAGCAAGGTGGAATCAGGAAAGACTTCATGCAAAAGGTTCCAGGTGGGCAAATTTCAAGGAAATGTGTTCCTATGAGACAGAGGCGGTGGGAGTGCATTCATTCCAAGCATGGGGGCAGCCAATACAAAGTCATGAAGGTGGGAGATGGGATGTCATCTGTGATGAACAGTAAAGGGGACAGTTTGGTTGTAACATAGACTGTGGGAAGAGAAATAATGCGTAATAAGGTTGCAAATGTAGGTTGAGATCAGGTTGCAAAGGGCCTTAAAAACTAAGTATTTGATCCTAAAAGTAGAAGGGGGCCATTGGAATTTGTGGACTAAGGGAGTGATGGAGTTAGTCCTGCACTCTAGGAAAATTACTTTGGCAGCTTGAGGCAGGGAGATCAATCAGGAAGCTATTGCAACAGCTCAGGTGAGAGTTAAAGAGGGCCCAAACTAGTGGGGTGGCTCTGTGAGTGGACAGAAGGGGATGGATTTGAGAGATGTTGTGGGGGTGGAAGCTATAAGATTTGGCAACTGATCGGATAGATGGAATGACTGAGGAGTCAAGAACAATGCCAAAGGTATTAACCTTGGTGATTGGGAGGATGGTGGTACTCTTCACAGGCATAGGAAAGTTTGGAAGTGGGCAAGGGGGGCGGGGCTATAGAGACAAGAGAATGATTCAGTTTTGGACTTTATCAATCTAAAAGTGTACCTATTATGCACTCATTGATTCAGACTTTTCATAACATGGACACTTCTCTTTTCTTCACAATTGACGCAAAGCTCTATGATGGATTGGTAATCAAGAGACCTTTTTTTTTTTTTTTTTGCTATGGCACTAGTTACCTGCCTGACTCTTGGAGAATTGGTTTCATCTTTCTAGATCACAGTTTCCTCTTCTGTAAAATGAGGGGGTTGGTTCAATTATCTCTAAGGCCCTCAAAACATTTTATAGTATCCATGGAGAAAGAAAAAAAATATATGATTTGCCCTTACCTAAATGGAAGTTCAAGTTCCTCATTCCAGCTGGGATTTGGACCTTCAGCTGTAGTAGTGTGGCAAACAGTTCTTTGAAAAGAAACTTCTACAAAAGGTCGAACTAAAACCTTAAAAATGAGAGCAAATTAGGAAAAAACCAAATTGATAACAAACCAAACCAAAGGTTTTGCCTCAGGCAAAAGCATGGGGCAAAAGAAAATATGAAGTAAGATGTGCTGCCTCTCAGATTTAATTCTGGAATAAACTGTGAAAAAATGAACTTCAGAATTTGGATTTGTTACCTGACTGAGCACATTGTCCACAGTGTGGGCTGGACTTTGCGTTGATGGGGAAGTCACAAGTGTTTCACTGAAAGGCCTTGAAGATCGGGACGGCTGCTGGAGTTTGCTAGGAGAGAAAAGTCATAAAAGTTCCAGGTGACATGACGCCAAGTATTAATTAATCTTCATAGCATTTAAGGAAGAAATGAAAAATCACCCAAAGGATGAGAGAGAGGCAAAGGTGGGGCATGAGCAGGCTGAAGCATGTTGTAAGTAAGGAACTGTATTAGATAAGTGGTGTCAAGGAATTCATCAAATAAATGTACTAGTGGAAAAAAAGATTGGTGAATCATATAGCAAAAGAAAGGGATAACAGCCTGTGTGCCCCATTGGTATCTCTGCAGTGTTAAAAGAACATGAATAAAACCGCAGGCATGCTGGGTAGACTTCCAGTGGCAACTTTAATGGGAGTACATGGAAGAGCAACATACAGAGTGTGTAGGCATGGATAGACAGACTGAAATCTGAATTGCTGGGCAGAATACCAACTTTTTAATATCTAAGAATGTTTTTAATAGATGACACTTTAAATATTCATAATCTCTAAATTATGTGGAATAAAAAGCCCTTCAAGCATAGAGACACAATGGAAGGAAACCAAACCCGGATAATATCATCCTAACTGCATTATCATCTCCAAAGATAACTTTGATGAACCTGTCAAGGAGTTTATATGCCAAAACTTTTATGAAATCACCAAAAGCAATCATTTTATGCACCCTAGTAACAGTCCACTAAACATTAACTCCAATAGAGCAATAGTAGGCTATTGATTTGTCCAAGGACCATTTCTATCTGAACTCTATTAAATGTGTCAGTCAGTTCATAATCATTGTGTTTACTCTGTGGTTAGGCACTGTGGGAAAATACAAATGAGTCAAATGTTTTACATAAATTATCTCATTTGACTATACCTTATCTTTTCCACTTAGTATATTCTACTCACCTCAACAAATAAGAAAGCAATGGAAGGTAGAAAGAAAAAAAGAATGAGTTGGCCTGGCAAGTATGAAATACCAATTTGGTGGGATCACAGGTCCATGACAGTATGGTAGTCATACTTAAATGTCTAAATATAGGTCTGTTATGCTTCTTTCTATAGGTATGCCTCATTTTATTGAGCTTTGCAGATGCTATGTTTTTTACAAATCGAAGGTTTGTGGCAACCCTGCATGGAGCAAATCTACTGGCACCATTTTTTCCCAACTGCATGTGCTCAGCATATTGTGTCTCTGTGTCACATTTTGGTAATTCTCACAATATTTCAAATTTTTTTCATTGTCACTATATCCATTATGGTGATCAGTGATTAATGATCTTTGATGTTACTACTGTAGTTGTTTTGAGGCCTCACATATACTACCAGCCATTTCCCCATTTCTCTCCCTCTGCTCAGGCCTAGCTATTCCCTGAGACACAACAGTATTGAAATTAGGCCTGTTAATACCCCTATAATGACCTCTAAGTATTCAAATGAAGGGAGGAGTCAATCATACGGCAAATTTCAATATTGTCTTATCTTAAGAAATTGCTACTGTCACTCCAACCTTCAGGAACCACCCCCCAGATCAGTGAGTAGCCATCAACATTGAGGTCAGACCCTCCACCAGAAAAGAGATTATGACTTGCTAAAGGCTTAGAAGATAGGTAGTGGTTTTTAGCAATAAAGTATTTTGTTTTGTCTTGTTTTACAAGACAATTGGTGTTAAGTGACTTGCCCAGGGTCACACAGCTACTAAGTGTCAAAGGTTTCATTTGAACTCAGGTCCTCCTGACTCCAAGGCTGGAGCCCTATCTACTGCAGGAACAAGTTATTTCTGAATGTTAGGCCCTTCCTTTCAACCAGATGAGGGAACCCCCAGGTCACAACTCATTTTCCACAATGGAGCACAACATCAGATAGGAAGTGGAGATGTCTCTTTAATATGACTATACGCAATAATAAAAAGGGCCCTGGACCTGCAGTCAGGAGACCTGGGTTTTCATCCCAGCTAATTTAGTTACTAGTTATGTAGCCCCTACTTTGAGCCTCAGTTTCTACATCCATAAAATGGGGATAATAATACTTGGCACTGCCCGTTTCCCGTGTCTGTATAAACCAGGAGTGGGGAACCTGCGGCCTGGAGGCCACACGTGGCCTTCAGGCTGCAGGTTCCCCATCCCTTGTATAAACCTTCAAGAGTGGCTTATGAACCTTAAAAGACTATAGAAGTAATGTGAGTGATGAGTAATCAGTGTCTGCAGAACAACTTTTGCTTCAGCACATTAGGGGAATAAGTATATAGAATAGCATAAATACCCAACAGAATAAATAAATATTTTAAACAAATGCAATGAGCATTTAATAAAAACTGTCCATTACAAGAAAGGTAAAGAACACTAATAGCCAGTGTTAGCTATTTTTAATGTACAGGAGGGATCAGACAGGTTCTGTTTGATCTTGCAAGGCAGAAATAGGCGAAATGGGTGGACATTACAAAGTAGCAGAATTTAGTTTAATCCAAGGAAAAAAACTTCCCTGGTGGAAAGAATAACCATTAAGGCTATTCAGCAAGAGGACTAGACTTCCTCGGTAAGTCACAGGCTTCCACTCATCACAGGTGCTCAGGTGGAGGCTGGATGCTCCCCTGTTCAGGGTGCTGTAGAATGGGATGCTCTTTTCATATCCAGAATGGACCAAATGAACTTTCAGTTCTCATCTACCTCTTAAACGACAGTCCCACCTTGGGTCAGGCGGCAGCTCTTTCTTACCTGGCTATGGGTTTTCGTACTGGAATATCATAGGCTCTAAGGACATTCACCAAGACTTTGATGTCTCCGTCTGACAGATTTTGTGCTGGAACTTTTTTCCTTCCTTTTCTCCTGGGTTTCAGTGGTCGCTTTTGTTCTGCCAACTTGAAGAGGCTTACACCCAGAATGCTAGTGACCACAGAATGAGATGTTGAGGACATTTTATTAATTTATTTTAATTTTATTTTACTTTTCAGTTCCACATTCTCTCCCTCTCTCTTCCCCTCCCATTGAGAAGGCAAGAAATATGACACTTTTTTTACACACACACACACACACACACACACACACACTCTCTCTCTCTCTCTCTCTCTCTCTTTCATGCAAAACACATTTCCGCATTAGCCATATTCTGAAAAAAAAAGCTAGAAAAATTAAGGAATAAAATATGCTTCGATCTGTGCTCTGAGTCCATCAGTTCTTTATTTGGAGGTGGATAGAATTTTATATCATGAGTCCTATGGAGTTATGGTGGATCATTGTGTTGATCAGAGTTTCTAAGTCTTAAAGACATTGTAGAAAGTAAGAGTCTGAAAGATCATGAGGCCTTCACCCATAAATTGTCTCAAAGCACCTTAAGGGCCTCTCAAAAAACCCTTGGGCACTTTAGGAGATTGAGACTGACCTACATAATCTACTGTGATGGGAAAGACACTTAAGTAGGACTGTTATTAACTTTATTTTAACTGCTAACTGCCTAAGGAAGAATATTTAAATTCTGGTCTTTCTAGCCCCATCTAGCCCTACATGAACTCTCACTTCCAACCAGATCAGTCCACTTCCCTGAGACTGTGCTTATTTTACTTCCTCTAGCAAGAAATTTTCCCCGCACTTGTCCACATATCCAGATCCTATTCTTCCTCCAGCACCCAAATCCAATGATATCTCTTCAGTGAAGCCTTCCACAGTCTCCTCCATTAGAAACAATCTTTGTCTCCTCAGGATTCCTGAAGCACTTGTCTATATGAGCATTTCCAAAATTTATTTGGCTATTTTGGGGCTTGAAACAGTTACATAATATAGAAATCCATGACCAGGGGATCTGAAGATAAGGAATGCCTTCAACAAAAATATTAGGAGATAGGCAATTCAAGAGCAAAGTAGAGGAAATTAAGCCTATTTTCAAACTTGAAGAAATGATGCAGGGAATAAGTACTTTTTGATATGTATGCAATTTAATGTTTAATATTTTTGTAAAGAAAATAGCTCTATCAACAAAATTTCCTTAGGGAATCTCTCTCCACTTTGTGCAGAACACCAAGTTTCTATAGAGATCAATTTGAGAAACGATAGTACGTATCACTTATGTGGTGCTTAACTACATTTTACTTTGTATTTGGTTTATCTTTGTACTCATGTTATCTACTTTACTAGGTTGTAACCTTTTGAACAGCAGCATTTATGCATTTTTGTATCCCTCATAGGGCTTCTCACAATATATTGAACACAATAGACATTCCATAAATAATGAATGAATGGAAAGTGTCAAAAAAGGGGAAGAATAATATGAACCAAAGAATTAAATTCTAGTCTAGAAGTTTAAAAATATACATTTACCACTTCCAACTAAATCTCATTCTATAGGTGGAATTGTGAAGAGTGAGCTAAAATGTCAAGGGACAAAGTGAGCCCTGAAGGGCTTTGATCTCATATGGGCAATGGCTAGAATCCCATGGAAGTAGCCAACATGGCCTCTTTGTGAAGGATCAGAATGCTGCCCAGTGCTCATGTGAAGGCCCCAAAAGGATGAGAGCTACATTCCCATTTGAGCCCCAGGCCCAGGTCTAACTGATGTTTCCTTCATTTGATCATAGGTTCTCACTCAGAGTTGTGAGGGGGTGGTAACCCTCACTAGTCTCTATCTGGCTTCTAGGGTAATTCATTTCCTCCAGATCTTTCTGTCCTCAACATGAAGGCTCTCTTCTGTCTACCTAGTTCATTTGAGGAAGACAATGAGTTTTAAAAAGTCACTTAAGGGAAGGTGATTCTATTTAAGGCAGGACACCTTTGGCAATCTATTGAAGCCTGTGCACCCCTCCTCAGAATGATATTTTTAAATACATAAAATACATAAGATTGCAAAGGAGAACAATTATGTTGAAGTAGTTATTAAAATAGTTTATAAAACAAACAAGGTCATGGAATCCAGGTTAAGAACCCCTGACTTAAGGGAAAGAAGACAAACTTAACAGAGTGAAAAATTGATGAGTCACAGAGCATGGAAACTTTTTCTAAGATAACCCTTTTCTTTAATACTTAAAAAAAATCAGGGTTTTAGGGAAAAAATCTGTATGGGTAATCTTTCCATTGATTCAGATAATAACTGGGGCTTGACTGTGTGAGCTGGTCCTACTTGGGAAAATTTTTTTTTTCAGTGCCTGGCTGGACTTCATACTCCTCCAGTTAGCCCACATCAGCTGATAACAAAGTAGATTTCCTTTGAAGGTATGTCTCATAGATCCCACCAATAGATGAGCTCTTTTAAGAAAGTTGAGTAGCTACCAGCTCTGGCTATTTATAGATTCATGCTTTGCTATCAGCAGGGGTAGGCAGGTTGTTCCTAGGAAGTGGTCATAAACTTGGAGTTCTTCTGTAAGGTATTGTGGGTCTGGGGGCACGGGGTGTAATCTGCTTAAGCACTTCCCTAGGTCAGTGCTCTGATCCTGGACAGTGACCCACCTATGAGGTATTCTACACAGGGAGCTATGGCATATTGACTGGGAGTAACAAACATAGAAGCAGATTAATAGCTAAAACAAAATAGGAAAGCACATACCCTGAGCCATCAGAACTTAATGCCCCAAATAAAGCAGAATGGCATGCATGAAGAGAAACAACATAAAATGAAAAATATGCATCTATTCTACAAGTAACTTGCAAGATTGTAAACAAACCAAAAACCTGTATTTTCCCAAAGTGTAGGCAAGAGAAGGCTTTGGTGAATGTTACTTCGGACATACCCAACCCTGTACCTGATCAAGGGGACTATATGGGTGGCTACTGTACTCTTGGGTTGCAGAGTCCTGGATACCTAAGGAGAAGTGTCTGAGGATCAGAGGTCGAGTAGAGAAAGAGTGTATGGGCTATAATGGACTTTGTAGTAATCTTCTCTCATTTCTTTCCCACCTTGATCACGTTTCCAAAGAAAGAAAATCTCTGTAACAGAAATGTTTTTTTTGGGGAGCCATGTAGCCAGGTGATTTTGTGGAAAGCTAGGAAGAGGCTATGGCAAAAGGAGAGCTGTTCACTGACAATGCATTTATACCACAAAACTATAAATTCAGCTACTCTGTTGTCCAAAGGAATGCTTTGGAATATTTTCATGCTTGCCTCCTCTCTTCCTCCTCCTCTCCGGTCCCCAACACATAATTTTTGACATCATTCAATTTTCTATTATTCAACACAACACATTTGAGGGAATTAGTTATGTAGCTCAACACACAAAGGTATAATGGAAAGAAATCTGGACTTGGAGGTCAAAAGATCTGGGTTTGAATCTTGGCTTTGTTACTTATTGTGTGACCTCAGGTAACTAATTTAACCTTTCTGAGCTTCAGTTTCTTCTATGAAATGAGGAGGTTGAACTGGATCATCAGTAATATCCCTTTGAACTTTAAAGCCTGAGATTACCTACTGTAACACATTTATTAAGCTTCTTCTTAATGTGCAGTATTATACAAGGCACTGGAGGGCCACAAGGAATTTATAATCTAATAAGGGGAATAAGATACATACTTAAATAAGTGTGACAAAATAGAATGGGTTAAGAGCAACACAGACACCCAGATAAAGTGTTGTCTGAAAATCTGAGGAAGGAGAGGTCACTTGCAGTTGGGAAATCTGAGAAAACTTCACAGAGAAGGTCATGCCTGACCAGATTGGGTCTTGAAGGAAGAGAAGGACTTCAGTAGGTGGAGATGAGGAATAAGTCTGTTTCAGATATGGCAGAAAAGCCTGTGTGAATCCATGAAGGCAGGGGAGTGTATGATGAGACTGAGAAATACCTAGTAGTCTGGTTTGATCATGTGAGAGAGAGGAGTGAGGAATCAGGCTTCTTGGGAAAATTTAGAGGTCATTTATGGAAATGAAGTCGACAAGAGAAATACAGTGTACTAACTTATATGAATATTCCATGTATCTTCCCACTAGTTGTGGTCATAGCATTTTCCCCATTGGTATAGCTGTATCCATCCCATCACCATTCCCATCGACCTTTCTCCTTGGTCAGCCAAATCTCTATGCTTCTTTGATAGTGAGGTGTGGTAAAAATTGGGTGGGGGTGGGAAGAGGAAGGGAGTTAGAATGAAATGGAAGGATGCATCAAAGAAACAGACTACACAGAATCTGGGTGGGGTAACAGCCCTGTGGGAAGAGAGAAGGTGGCAGGAATTGCCTTTGTATATATGTTCATGGTGTTTCCTATTCCTGGAATGCCTACCTTTTTCATCTCCACCTGATGAAACCACAACCATCCTTCAAGGACCATCTTAAGTGCATCAGGTTAACCCCGATTTACCCTCCCCACCCAGTCCTACATCCCTTCAAACCCAAAGAATTTCTGCCTTCTCAGATCTCTTAGAGTATTTTGTTTCTGTTTGAAGCATAGTTATTTCTGTATGTGTCATTGCCCCTAACAGACTGAAAGTTCCTTGAGGGCAGGGGGCACATATTATTTGTCTTTGAATTTCTCCCAGTATCTGGTAACAACACCTTGTACGAGAGTGGGCACTTGATAAATATTTGTTGTTGAAATGAAATAAGGGATGAGAAAGGTTCTCTCTAAGTGGGCATGGGAAAGGAGGTTGTAGCAGACTTGCTGCAGGCTTTGGGTTGTCACTGCTCATGGCTCCTTCTCATTGTGTGTGTCCATAGCAGTGACTTTACTATATGTGTTACCAACTCTATCCTGGGCCACAATGAGACTTGAATGATGAGGAAATCCTACATTCACAGACCATCTTTCCTTTACAAAAGGCCCTAATGGTGGCATGGTAAACAAAACTTAAAGTTCTAAAAAGAACAATCTCCACTCCCCCTGCCCCCTTACCTACCTAATATTGGGAACATCCTCTTCTACAACCAGGTCCGAAAGAAGAAAATGGTGTTTTGCAATTAGGAAACGGTTTATCACAGATTCTCTAACCTACGGGGAAAAAGTCAGGTTCACTTGCAGTTTTCTCATTAAATTTATGATAATAATTCACATTTATATAGAACTTTAAGTTTTGAAAATTAATCCAAGTCTTATTATCCCCATTTTACTGATTCTTTGGGAGATAAAGTGACTTTCAATTATCACACAGCTAATATGTGTCTGAGTTGAGATTTAGGTGTCCTGACACAAAGTACACTACTCAATCTACTCCTTCATGCTGCCTTATAGATTATTATTTTTTTCCTTAGTAGTATTTTTTCCAATTACACGTAAAAATAGTTTTCAACATTCATTTTTGTAAAATTTTGAGTTCCAAATTTCTCTCCTTCCCTCCTATTCCCCCTCCCCAAGACAGCAAGCAATCTGATATAGGTTATACATGTACAATCGTGTTAAACATATTTCCACATTAGTTATGTTGTGAAAGAAGGATCAGAACAAAAGGGGAAAACCACAAGAAAGAAAAAACAAAAAGTGAAAATAGTATGCTTCAATCTGCATTCCGACTTCATAGTTCTTTCTCTGGATGTGGTTAGCATTTTCCGTCATGAGTCTTTTGGAATTGTCTAAGATCATTATATTGCTGAGAAGAGCTAAGTCTATCAAAGTTAGTCATCGCACAACAAAACATGGCTGTTACTGTGTACAGCGTTCTCCTGGTTCTGCTCACTTCACTCAGCATCAGTCCATACAAGTCTTTCCAGGTTTTTCTGAAGTTTGCTTGCTCATCATTTCTTATAGCACAATTGTATTCTATTACATTCATATACCACAACTTGTTCAGCTGTTCACCAATTGAGGGACACTCCCTCAATTTCCAATTTTTGCCATGACAAAGAGAGCTGCTATAAATATTTTTGTGTGTGGGGGTCCTTTTCCCTTCTTTATGATCTCTTTGGGATACATACCTAGCAGTGTTATTGCTGGATCAAAGGGTATGCACAGTTTGATTGCCCTTTGGGAATAGTTCTAAATTCTCCAGAATTGTTGGATCAGTTCGCAACTCCACCAGCAGTGTAGTAGTGTTCAAATTTTCCCAAATCTTCTCCAACATTTATCATTTTCCTTTTCTCTTATATTAGCCAATCTGATAGGTGTGAGATGGTACCTCAGAGCTGCATTTTGATGTTTAATTTGCATTTCTCTAATCAATAGTGATTTAGGGCATTTTTTCATGTGATTATAGGCAGCTTTAATTTCTTCCTCTGAAAATTGCCTGTTCATATCCTTTGATCATTTATCAATGGGAGAATGACTTGTATTCTTATGAATTTGACTCAGCTCTCTATATATTTTAGAAATTAGGCCTTTATCAGAAACATTGGCTGTAAAAATTATTTCCCACCTTTTTGCTTTCCTTCTGATCTTGGTTACATTAGTTTTGTTTGTGCAAAACCTCTTTAATTTGATGTAATCAAAATTATCCATTTTGCATTTCATAATGTTCTCTATCTCTAATTTGGTCATGGTAGATTACTATTTTAAAATGCACTATAGATTATTATTCTAATGGAATTTAAAAGTCTGGGCTTGATTCCATAAGCCCTTCTTCTACTTGATGCCTAATTATGTGTGAACCACAGTTTGCCCATAATAATCAAAATGAAATTTTAATCCTGAAGTTTTAAGTCCATTTAAAAATCAATTAATAATTATTCCTATGATCCAGGGATCCCCAAGATTTTTGTGGGGAGGAGCTACTTTTAATTTTTAGTATGTAGACAGAGATTATAGTAAAATAAATTAGTTGGGTCAGGGGTAGGGAGGAGATGGATGGAAAGGAAAGAAGGCTATATTTCCATGCATCAAATGCTACTATGGAAGCATAGGGGGACAGTGTCTGATGAAATGTTTGTAATATACTATATATTACCTTATCAGATAAAGAAAGAGATGATGAGTTCCCATAGCAATTCATAAAATGGGCATGGAGCCAAAGTATAGTAGTGATGAACATCTGCTATGTCTTACTCTGCTAAAATCTGATAAAGTCTTGATTGTGCTTTGCTGACAATTCCATATCTCAGAAGGCAGAGGAAGTAATGAGAGAAACTGCTACAGTAGACTTAATTCTGACCAACAAGGTTGGTAAAATGGAATTGATGAGAGCCTTGGGGAAAAAGGACTATTTTTTTTTAGGGTTTGTGACAACCTACAAGAGGGAGTGCTGGAGGCCGTTTGATATTTACTCTTGATGTCAGGAGTACAGATTGCAGTGATTTCAGAGAAATGAAGGCATGATTCCATGACCTAAGGCAATAAAAGGAAAGGGGGCTCAAGAGGAATGGGAACCCTTCAAAAATAAAATTCTGTCAATACCATCAGCACTGATCTTAATGAGGAAGAAAAGGAAGAAAAATCTAAAGCATTCAAACTCTTTTCTCTCTCTATTCTTGGCAATTTCATTAGCTGCCTTGGATTTTATTATCAGTTCTATGAAGATGATTCCCAGGTCATCCATCCCCAGTCTCTCTGCTGAACTACAGTCTTATGTGACCAACTACTAATGGGACATTTCAAACTGGATATCAAAGAGACTTTGGTCAAATTCATAATATCCAAAACCAAAACTCATTTTCTTTCCTTTCAAACCTACCCTTCAATAAACTTTCCTATTTCTAAAACACAACTGCTGAGGAAATCCTACCGTTCTTCTAGTTTCCCAAGTGTGCAACCCCACTCTCCCTTATCCCTCATATTCAATCAGTTGCCTAGTCTTGTTATTTCAACCTCTATGACTTCTGTTCATCCCCACACCATCACCTTGATTTAGGCCTTCATCACATCTTGGCTAGATTTTTGCAATAGCTTCTTAATTGCTTTAGCTCCCTCAAGTCTATGCCTTCTCTAATTTATCCTTCACACAGAGGCCGAAGTCATATTTCTAAAGCAAATGTCTAATCATGTCACTTCCCTGTTCAATAAAATCCAGTGGCTCCTTATTATCTTTAGGATCAAATACAGATTTTTCTATTTGGCACTTATGCTTATTAATTGATTGATTTAAAACCCTTCACAATCTGCCTCTGACCTATCTTTCCAGTCCTATCAAACATTACTCTTTCTCACACACTCTTCAGTCCAACCAAACTGAACACCTTTCTGTTTGTTCATACATGATACCCAACCTTCTCTTTTTATGTTTTTGCCCTACTTGTCCCCCATGCCAAAAATTCATTCCCTTCTCACCTCTGCTTCTTAGATTGAGTTTACTTCAAAACTCAGATCAAGGGCTATCTTTTACATAAGGCATTTCCTGATTCCCTCAGTGCCTCTCCCCCAAATTACCTTGTGTTCATTGTATAAATATTTCTGTGTAATTAAGGTAACACATGAATTGCTTGAGACAAGCAATAACTCTGATGTGGTTTCATTTTGTGACAGGAATGCTCATGCTTCTACTGATACTTGTCTGATTCACAATGTTTGATCCAAAAATGCTGAAAAAGGATTGAATTGGTTTCCTACTCTTTAATTAGTTCTCTGTCATTTAAGTGCTGGATTTCATGCCATACTCATGTGTTTTATGCTCTCCCTTATTGTATTTTTAATTCCATGGCTTTAAAAAATGACTTACTTTGAGGAAAATTGTAGCTTTAAAAGAGCACATTTCATTGACTGTTAAAGGTATTGTGGTGGCTATTGGTGTGGAAAAACAAAACATTTCAAGAAGCATTCAAACTGACAATGAAACACTCTATTTCTAGTTAAACCTTTTCTTCATCAAATAGAGAAAGCTCCCCAAATGTTCTTTCCTGTCTTCATGAGATATGTTCTGTCCCTAGCCAGAAACCCCAAATTCCAGTTTGTTTTGTGGTAGTCCAGAAGGCCAAATCCTGTTTTTCATTACCATCTACACCAGCAGCAGTTTACTTCCTATACCTTACTTTCTTTTCCAAAGCTCCATATTTCCACTGGAAGAAAAGAAGAAAACACCACTTCTGTCCCAATATACTTGAATTTTTTTGTCTAGGATCAGACCCACATGACTTTTTTTCTTTCTTTCAATGCTAAACACACTTGTGCCTATAGTAACTTACTAATAATTTGTACTATACAACAAAAGATTCTTTTCAAAAGAGAAAAAGATTGAATTTATCTTTCTTACCTGTTGGAGGTATTTGGCCACTAAAGCTCTATGAGTATCTAAGTGATCCTTGGTTTCAATTACACCTCTGTCACGTATCCGTTTCTCATAGTCCTGCATTTAAAATTAATGTAATTTTATTATTTAAAATTACTTTTGATATCATAAAGAATTTAAATATGTTCCACCTTTGACTGTTTGATTTTGTGTAATCTTTTCTCCCTAACTAGATTGTAAATTTTATCTGACCTCCTAGGTTGGTAGTTACCTGTTCTTGCTTGGATATGTGAGTTCATCCATATAGGCACTCCCAGTGATGATTGCAACCCATCTCTGTCTTTACTTCCTCTACAATCTTCTTCATGTCTTTCCTTAGAGGTACCCGTGGTGTAGTGGAAATAGCATTGTATCTAGAGTCAGAGAATCTGAGTCTGTGTCTTAGCTCTGAGACTTACTGTTGGGCCATTTCCTCCCATACTCTGGACTCCAGTTTCTCATTTGTAAAATGAGGGAGTTAGATCAGACATCCCCTAAGGTCCTTTCCAGCTTGAAATCTATTATCCAGTGACTCTACAACTGGCTAAGTGTGTGCGTGTAGGTATGCTGAACAATTAATAGGTTAATATATGTTTAATACAGGGCAGTGGAGAGCAATAATGGAAGGTGGTTGTAGATCCAGTCCTCTGAAAGGAGGGTTAGGCATGAAAGAAGGCAGGTATCTCAGGATGAGTGGTAAAGTCAGGGATAAGCCCAGGTAACATTTGTGATATGGGAGGCTGAAAAGAATTGGTCAAGTTGAGGAAAGCACCAAATGGTGAGACCAAAGTAGGGCCCATGGCCTGGAGGGGAAAGCCAATAATAGGAAGTTGAGAGGAAGTACAGGTGCCTCTAGGCAGAGAAATATTTTGCATGTAGCTCTCTGACTCCACCTCCTGGCTTTCCTGGCTTCCCAAAAGTCTTAGCTCAAACCCCTGCTAAAGCCTTTCTATTCTTCTTATACATACATATATGTATGTAGATAGATATCAGCAGATAGAGCTAGGTAGGTATCTATCCAGATAGATATTGATAGAGATATCTATTGATATTCATATAAATCTACAGAGAGATATTGATCTATCTATAGATATAGATATCTATAAAGAATAGCTATCAATATTTAGCTATCTCTTGTTTGTACATGGTTGCTTACACAATGTCCCCCCAATTAGATTGTGAGTTCCTTGAAGGCAGGGGATGTTTTTGCCTTTTTAACTTGGGGTGAACTTGTTTTTAAAAAATATTTTGACAACTGCATTTCAATATAATTGATTTTATTTGTAATCATATTTTATTTTATGCATTTAAGAACATGATTCTAAGGAGAGCTCCACAGACTTCACTGGACTGCCATAGGAGTCCATGACACAAAAAAGTAGTTAAGAACTTCTGCTTGAAGTCTTTGATATTTAATGTATTTCATGTATGACACATATCTTATGTTTTTGTCATGTGTATTTCATATATTCATGTGTTCATAACTATCTTGTTCCTTGTTCTTGCTATGTGATGGATCCATCTCCTTTTCTGGTTATACACGGCCTTGATAATGTTTTTTATGCAGCTTCTGACATGCAAGTCACTGTGGGTAGTATGCTTTAGTCTACTTATCACTAGACACTTTGCCATGGCTTAGTGGAGGAAATACCCACATGTATGGAACCAGAGAAACTTCGAAGTGTTGATGAAGAAAATGTCTTACCTGGAATACCTTTTCCATGATTTCTCGGTCATAAATGGGAACTTGCTTAAAATTCCGGAACTCTGGTACCTCCAGGGTTCTGAGATGTAGAAGTCTGAATCGCTTAGATCTATTTAGCTCCTCATCTGAAACAAAATTAAATTCTTGTTGCAACTGCTCCAGTCTGAAGAATTCTGGAACATAAGTATCTCCACTGGTAGCAACCTAGAGAAAATAAGGAATATAAACTTATAACACATACATTATCATTCAAATCAACCTTTCTTTGTAGACTGTGTGTGGAACTTAATATGATAGAAATACTACATGTGTAGGTCAGCTCTTCTGATAATATTATTTGAGTATTTAATCTGATAAAGTATCCAAAATCCAACTGCTAGGGCTCATCACAGTTATGAAGGTGACCCTGTGTTCTGTAAGGTTGTGCCAATGGAATGGAAGGTCTGGCAGCTAGGTGGTTCCGTGGATAGAAGGCCAGACTTGGAATCAGGAAGATCTGAGATCAAATCCACCCTTAGACACTTACTAGCTGTGTGACCCTGGTCAAGCCACTTAACCCTTTTCCATTCCAATTTTGTCATTTGAAAAACTGCGACAATCATACCACCTACCCCACAGGGTGATTGTGAGGATCAAATGAAATAACACCTGTAAAGTGCTTTGCAAACCTTAAAAGAACCATATAAGAGGTAGATTTTAGATTCTAGCATCTTGGAAAGGCTTTAAGTATAGGCATAGTGATGGGCTGTGTATTTGCCAATTGAAGACCAGCCTAGCTAAATTCAGAGAGACTCTTCACCCGGCTGGCTATATTGAATTGTGACAGTGACTCTTGAAGATTATTTATTAAGTTACAGGAGGAGTAGGGGTCAGTTGGGATCTGCATGGATGGTAACAAATTTTCAGATTCTTTAAATACTGAAGCATATTATTCGGTAGTGCAAAAGATCTAATGTGGGAACAAAATACATTGAGTGTTCTTGGTACCTGCTATAATAATGATAAGAACTGAGGTTTACGTAGTGCTTTAAGGCTTATAGAGAACTTTATATACATTATCTCATTTGGTTCTTCCAACAATTATTTGAGGAAATGGTAAAAATATTATCATAATCTTTTTTTTACAGAGGAAGAAAACTGAAGCTCAAAAAAAATGATGTAATTTGACCAAGATCACACAGTGAGTATCACAGCTGGAATTTGAACCCAATTGTCCTGACTTCTAGACCAGTCCTCTTTTCACTGTTCCATGTTGCCTGCCTATTATGGGATCAGGGCTGTGTATCCTATAGAGGATACACAGACATACAAATGTAACATACTATCTAGTGCCTTGTACAAAGTAGGCATTTAATAGATATTTGTTGAATAAGACGTAGTCCCTTTCCTGAAGTTTATCAAGCCCTTCCATGCAATCCTTTATGGATCCAATTGGTTCTTGGAACAGAAGTAAAGTTGAGAATCCCCTAAACCAAGCTAAAATTTGCATGGTTACTTAGAAGAGGTAAGGTAAAACAATTGTTCTATAGTGAGAAAAATTACAAATAATGAAGAAAGTGGGTGAAGAATTTTTTGGGCACAGCAACCCACAGATGAGGAAATTGTGGGTCAGAGAAGATGAAGGAATTGCTCATGCTCATACAATTGATAAGTATTTGAAGCAGGATATTTGGACCCAGATCTCTTCTGACTCCAGGTCCAGGCCTCTTTTCATTGAACTAGACACAACGTCTCTCATACTTTCCATCCATACTTTTCTTTCTCATTCCCTGCTCCTGGTCATATTCTCAACAGCCTTCCCCGCAGCCAGACCAGAGATCATACTCTGGAGGTTTAACCTCTTTCATCTCTGGAAATTTCATTTGGTGACCCCACCATTCTCATTGATGACTGCCTCAACTGGCCCACGCTTCCCTCCCTATTCCTCACCCATCTGTTTCCCTAGGGTCCCATTCACCGTCTTTGTCACTTGAACTGAAGGGACCCTCTCTGGTCACCATCCTCGTATGTGTGCTCTCCCACAATTTGAGGGCAGAAACTGCCTTTGACTTTTCATTTCCATCCCTCGCGTTTAGCCCTGTGTTGGCCACAGAAGGAGTACTTAATGAATTCTTTGTCAATCATTTATTCACTCCTTTGAGTCAGACAGTAGTGAAATTGCTCTACCCACATGAAGCAAAGCCCCTTCTGGGTTTCAAAAATGACACAAGAAGACAGCGGTTTTGAGGAAACCACAGCGATAGGTTCAATCCCCAGATGAACTGGTGAGTTTTGCTTTTTTCTATAGCCACAACGTTGTGTTCCTGGGACTCCGATACCTACAAAGACTCAGTGATGGCACACTGGACTGATGCTATGACTCGGTCAGTAGGAGGGGGAGCAGTTTGTTGGATGCTGCTTAATTGAGAGATACACTCATTTTAGTGTTGCCAGTCCTCTTTCCCAGGCATTTGCTTTTCCAAAAGGGTGCTGATGCCATATCCAGGAGGCATGACTACTGGACGTAACTTAGTTCTTGAGTGTATATGTCCACAATGTGTGTGTGTGTGTGTGTGTGTGTGTGTGTGTGTGTGTGTGTGTGTGTGTGTGTGTAGATCTGCTTTAAACTAAGCAAACCCAATAAATAGGACCATTAGATTTGGAGCTTGAAGGGAACTTCGTAACAGATTAATTTAAACATCTAATTTCACAGAGGGAAGTGACCACATAAGTAGTAAATAGCAGAGTTGAGGTTCAAGCCCAGGTCTTCTGCCTTCAAATGCGGGGCTCTTTCTATCATACCATGCTGGCTTTCAAACCACACTAGCTTTATAGATCCAGATTTGTAAAACAGAAAAGTTAGGCTTGATGTTTTTAGCCTTTTGTTTTTCTTTGCAAGTAAATGTTGTAGCTAAACTATTTTCTTACTAGCTGTATGACCTAGTGTAAGTCATCTGACCTGTCTGAATCCTAATTTCCTAATCTGCAAAATGGGACTGATGATATATTACTTCTCAGATTTGAGAGGAAAGAGATTTGCAAACCTTAAAATACCATATAAATATGTTATTACTATTGTAGGAAGACAGCTGAAATACAAATTGAGAAGGAAGTTATAAATCTGCTATATGTAAAAAAAATTATGACAATAAATATGGTTTTAAAAGTTTGCTTGTGGGGTAGCTAGATGGCACAGTGGATAGAGCACTGGCCCCGCATTCAGGAGAACTTGAGTTCAAATCTGGCCACAGACATGTAACTCTTACTAGCTGTGTGACCCTGGGCAAGTCACTTAACCCCATTGCCTAGCCAAAAAATAAAACAAAAAGTTTACTTGCAACAAATTATACTACTCTTAAATTCTACAGATTTATTCTTTACTAATGTCGGTTAACACCTGAATTAAGAAAGAGTATTTTAACAAAAAGCTTTCATTCCTTCAACAAACATTTCCTGAGTATCTTTAATGTAGTAGGCACACTGCAATAGACCCTGAAGGATGCAAAGAACACTAAAATATGTTTCCTGTTTTTGTGCAATGTAAACTTTAATAACAAATATTAAATAGCTTATAAATTATATGAACTCACATTGGGACAAACCTCTAAAAGGCTAGATTCTAAATGGAAAACTTTCATCCTGGGTATAATTATCTCACTGATGAAATCATCATAATAAACACAATCACAGGAACATGTTGCTAGGAGCACTTCCCGGCCAGTATATTTGTTTATCTATTATATTTTTTATGCTAATGTGAGCACTTCCAAGAAAACAATTCGATTGGCTGCCTGGAAAAAATGAAGTCCCTGACTGATATAATCACCAAAACTTCTAGTGTTATGTTGGACAAAAATAGCTTAACTACTAAGTATTGATGTAAAATAAAGATTTCAATCACCTTCAGCTAAGGTTGTTTGTTACTTTTAGACACACAATTCACCCAAGTAGGATTGGGAGTGTTCCTTACCGTTATTAGCTGCATCAGTGAGGCATTGTTTGGGTCATTTGGGTCCAGTTTTGATTCTGCTGCCCACCTTGCCAGCTTCTTCATATCTGTCAAACCTGATGCACCAATGGATGCGATGGCATCAACTTTCCTTAAAGCATTGAAATAATAAAGTAAGTCCCAAATTATTCGGATTTAAAATCAGTTTTTAATCAGGATAAGGAGAATCTACCAATTACTTTCTTATTATGGTTCTGTTCTTTTTATTTTTCATTTGAGAGCCACTCCCTTTCCCCTCAATCAGTGCAGCACTTTCTGTATTTTCCTTACTTGATAACAAATTATAGATATGTTTGGGGCATTCAAGCAAATGAAAAGAATTGTTGCTGACATAAATGGGAATAACCCAAACCAGATCTGTGCTGAATACTAGGAACCAGTTTGAAAAATGAGCTTTGATTGCTCTCAGGGGGAACTGGGACAATCAAAGCAATCCATTGACTTCAGATTATAGAGGTACTAGAAAGCTGTAAATCATACTCAGCTGGTGACCATTTGTAGCAATGCACTGAGCATAAAGTTAAGGGAAAATAAAGCTTCATGGACCAGCATCCACTTTTGACAGAAGGGAATTTCAAGGCAGATCCAAGTAGGTCAGTGGGATTATAGGATTTAGAACTGGAAGGGACTTCTAAGATCCTCTAGTCTGACTCCAACATTTTATAGTTGAGGAAAGTTGGGCCCAGAGAAGAAGTGACTTTCTCAGGGTAATACAGATAGTATTAAGCAGATTTGGAAGTAGATCTTATGATCCTGTACCTCGTGTCATGGAAATAACTAACATGAGCTTGGACAGACTTTGGGAGAAAGTGGAGGATAGAAGGGCCTGGTGTGCTGTGGTCTATGAAGTCATGAAGAGTTGGACGTGACTGAATGACTGAACAACAACAATGACTTATGACTCCAGAAAGGAAGATCTGAGTTCAAATTTAGCCTCAGAAATGTACCAGATATGTGATGCTAAGCAAATAATTCAACCTCTCTCTGCCTCAGTCTCCTTAGCTATAAAATGAGGAAAATAATAGCATCTACATTGCAGGATTGTTGTGAGGATCAAATGAGATAATATTTGTAAAGTGCTTAGAAAAATGCCTGATGTATAGTAGGTGCTTAATAAATGCTTATTTCCTTCCCCCTTCCAGTTCCTGTGTTCTTTCCACTCTGCTCCCCAGCCTTTATTTCCGTGGGTCTTTTCAACATGTATATATTTTTCTCTCCTGTCATGATTATATGGAAGGCTTTAATTAACATGAAAGATCTCATGTACTCAACCTAAGTCATATTAATCTGAAGGACTTCAATAGGAGAAAGTGAAAGACATTTTGAGGCAGAGAAGAAGCTCCAGATCATTCTTATTTTTATTCACTCAGTATATTTGTAACATGGCTATGTTAACATGATACTGTGCTAGGGTAAAAGAAAGGAAGAAAATCAACACTATTCATGGGTTCCAGAGTTGGAAGGGACTGGATCAGAGTTCTTAACCTGGGGTTGTTGAACTTAAAAAAAATAATCTTGATCATGTATTTCAATATAATTGATTACCTTTGTAAACCTATATGTTTTATTTTATACATTTAAAAACATTATCCTGAGAAAACACGATAGACTTTACCAGACTGCCAAAGGGGTCCATGACATAAAAAAAGTTAAGAACCCATGGATCGGACAGATAACATCATTTGCCCTATGTGTTTTACATATGGGGAAACTGAGGTCCAGACGAGTTAAGTGACTGGCTCAGATAATGGCTAGGGAAAGACCAGAATGCAGGCCTCCTGATTCCCAGTCCAGGGCTTTTATGTTACACTTTACTACTTCTATTACCAATAATCAAAAGAAAAGAAGAGATGATGGGGACAATAGAGGAAACCTATTTTGCCTAGCAATTCTGCAAATTGACATTTCTGAAGGGTTTCTAGAATGGCTTTGCATTGCTAAGAGTGTATCCCAAGGGATCTGCCAATAAGAGAAAATGTAAAACCGGGTATATGAATGTTGTTCAGTCGTTTTTTTAGTTATATCCAGCTCTTTGTGATCTTATTTGGGGTTTTCTTGGCAAAGATGCTGGAGTGGTTTGCCATTTCCTTCTCCAGCTCATTTTACAGATAAAGAAACTGAGGCAAACAAAGTTAAGTGACTTGCTCAGCATCATAGAGCTTGTAAATGCCTGAGGCTAGATTTGAACCCAGGAAGATAAGTCTTTCTGACTGCAGGCTCAGAGCTCAATCCACTCTGCTACCTAGCTGGCTGAGTATATATATATCCTTAGAAGAAGTTTTCTGTGTCATTTATTAACATTTTTTTGAAAATCCGCTATTTTCTGGTCTCATACTGGCACAGATATCTTTACATTTATGTATAGTCATGTAGCTCTTTATACACCTATATATATATATATATATATATACACACACACATATACTTAGATATGTAGATCTATAGCTATTTATTTATATAAGTATCTATTTATTTATATATTATATATACATATATCGATTTATATACATATATACATATCTTAGATGTGTAGATAGCAAAGTAAATATCTACATAAATATTTATATACATATCTACATACAAATATATCAATATTGAATGTAGATATAGGAATATATTGATGTATATTGAGATATGGATATGTAGATTTATAGATACATATAGACAGATACCTAGCTATCTACGTATCAAAATATTGATATATACTACATGTGTATAGACATACCTATGTAGCTATATAGATAAGTTGCTATCTATATAGATATATAGCTATAGATAGAATTATTGCAGCCTGTTGGGAGTATGGAGAGTTATAAAATATGGTGTCTCTTCTCATAGGCTTTACATTCAAGACTGGGAATCATTACATGTATCTGTCAATCAACCAATCAATAAGTACTTATTAAGTGCCTGCTATATGTGTTAGCCACTGCGAATATAAAGAAAAAAAACAAGACAGTCCCTGCTCTAAAGGAGTTACAAAATATATATACATGCATATACACACATATATATGTATACACTTACATATACACATACATACATAGATACTATATATGTATATGTGTGTATATACATACATACATACATATATATGTGTGTATATACACACACACACACACACACACATATATATATATATATATATATATATATATATATATATATATATATATATATATATAGTATAGACAACCTTGGCGGGAGGAACAATAGAGGCTTTGTGTGGGAAGTGGCATTTGAACTGAGCTTTGAAGAAAGCTAGGGATTCTAAGTAGATACGAGGAGGGAATACATTCTAGGTATGAAGGATGGCCTGTCAAAGACGACAGAGAAGAGCTGCAATGCCACATGTGAAGAACAAGAACATAATGAATAATACCAGTTGTAATTGCAAAGGACCAAACAGAGTATAGGCTAAGGACCACAGACGTTCAGAAGTCACTGTGTCTAGAAAGGTAGTGTTGTATAGTTGAAAGGGAGTTAAATTTACCATCAGGGCATCTAGGTTTGAATCTGAGATCGGATATTTTCTAGTCATGTAAGCTTAGAATTCTAAGCCTCAGTATCCTCTTCTATAAAATGCAGATTACAATACTAACATTGCCTGTTTCACAAGGTCATTATAAGGGAAGCACTTTGTAGACCTTAAAAAAAAAAACACAACCCAGATCAACATGAGATATTTTCATGTGACACTTCCTGGTCGTGTGACCACAAGTAAGTCATTTTAAATACCTAGCCTTAGTGTCCTTATCCATAAAGTGAAGATAATATCTGTCTCCCAAGCTGTTGTGAAGTTAGTGTTCTAAAAATTTTAGAGCATCATATAAATGTGAATGCTTGTTATTACAGGGTAACTGTGGGAAAACTTCATAAAGATGGGACTTTAACAGGTAGGACAGCCTTCAGAGAAGCAAGAGTGTGCAGGTTTGGAGAAGGGAGCATCCCAGGCAACAGGAATGTTGGGAGGCAAAGTCCTATAATTGTGACATTTTCCACTGTCACATATTGCATGGAACATATCCTTTTTTTGGAGCAAGAAATCTTGCCAATAGCTGTTGTATTAAAATAAGAAAATAAATGTGACACATGCTTTCTCTTAATAACCTTGAGTTTCTTTGTAGTTTATACCAATCAAACATTACCTTCGAATGCCAACACTTTGTTGTGATGCTGGTGGGATCAAAGGTATCCCATTTTCTCCAACTGCCCAGGCAACGCTATTTGACACTTTACCAGAGGTCATTAAAATCATTTTGTTGCTACCGTCAGCTTCAAATGAAAAGGGCTCACCTGTAAGAAGCATATCACATACTGAGAAAATCCACATGAAGAGCAACTAAATTTTAATATTAATATATTTGATATGTAAATATATTAATAGAATTATTTGAAAGATTATGTATTTTGATGTATAAATTTAAAACCATTATTCTCCAAAGGAGTCCATAGGCTTCTCCAGTCTGCCATTTTTTGGGTCCCTGATACACACAAAAATGTTAGAAACTCTTTCTGTAAAGCATTTTTTTTCTTTCATCCTTATTGTACAAAATGGAAATGATAGCAATCATTATTGTTCATCTAAAAAGATAAGTAATTTCTACAGAACCAATAATATTTAGGAGAATACTATCCAAAACACATCTATTAAAAATTTGCATGTAAAAATATATATTATTGGAAAGATTATAAAAAATCTCTACTGCCAATTTTATGACAGTCCCATTGTCTAGAAGCAAAGAGGTGTGCCAAACTATGTGGTCAAATGCTAAAATATAAGCAAGAAATATTAAGGATAAGAAGCTCTTTGTACCACTTCCGACTCCTTCATGGTCCAGTGCCACATGCTGATTGCTGCTAAACTCAATTTCTTCAATAGAGGCCCTTCCAGTGAACACTGTTGTTTCAGGGATGGGTAAAAAGACTTCTGCTAATAAGTTATTGCTGCCATAGCCAACTGTTTCATAGACCTAAACCCAGAAAAGAAAAAAAAATCTTAAAAAAGAGAAAAGGAAAAAAAAGGGAAAAGAAAAAACTTAAAGGCAATAATAATAATAATATAGACCATCTTCTATGCATAACAGTGGCGCTGACCAGCCCCTTCTCCTCCCCAGTAAGTTACCTACCTGCTTTGGGTTCTTTTTGTGGTAGCAGGAATACATTTACTCTTTTCTCATATGATGGAACAGAGCAAAACTACTTGGCTCAGGTGAGGTCTGAATCCATGACCTTGACATGACTACCGGGATGTTCTAACTAACGGAGCTAATGAACCACCAACAAATAAAGAATGTACCATTAAGGAGAATATTCCTTAAGATAGCTATGAAAATTCAAATAAGATTAGGTAATATAAACCAGGTTAAAAAGACATTAAACCTATACACTCAGCATACAAACCAAAGAGGCTTCATCGCTTGCCAAATGAGTATTTTGTTAAGCTACAATTAAGAAATCTTGAGCAAAATAAAAAAAAAATTATGAAACTATATTTGAATTTTAAAAAATACAGCATCATTTAGTTAAAATAAAACAATGAACACTTTAACAGTAGAAAAGATAAATTCTGCTCAGGTCAATCATGATTCCAGATGACAGATGATGATGCATGCTATTTCCCTTTTGACAGAGAAGTGGTGGACTAAAAAGGCAGAATGAGACACATTTTTAGATATGGAAATTTGTTTTGCTTGATTCTGCATGTTTATTATAGGAGTTTTCTTTTTCTTCTCTCCTCCTCCCCGCAATGTGATGGAGGAGGGGAAAAGGAGAAAAAAGGAGTGCTTAGTAATTTGATAAAAAAATTACAGAAACAAGGTAAATTCTGAATCCGTTGTGTGAATCATGACCCAGTGAATAAAGGATCCTGTAGGTTGGTCTATCTAACATGAGTTACATAGTATCAATATGTCAGCCTAGATACTTTTTCCTTTGTAGAATATGTACTCTAGGCCAGTAAATAGTGCTTCTAACACAGCTCTCCTGATGGAATATGTCTTCCCTTTTTTTGCCATAAGAAACAGGAAAATTAAGGAATGAATGAATTCTGAAATTCAATTGAAAAATTTATTAAGGCTTTTTCTTTCAACTGTGGTCCATAAAGAGCCAATTAATTTAAATTAATAATTTCTTGGGGGAAAGGCAAATGATTGAAATGCCATAAAAACTAAATAGCATAAAGTAAAGTGATGTAGCAACAGCTGTACTCAAAGCATAAAGGATTTGGCAGTGGGTGATGAAGTCAAGTCTTCATAGTTTGAATATTAAGCAGAATGGGATCCCATTCCCAGCTCTCCTTCCTGGAATTCTTTTACTTATCAGATACCCCCTCCCCTATATTATCTGAAATACTTAAAGGCTGCTTAGTATCTGCCTGCATAGATGAAATGAGGAAACATCCTACCTAGGATTCAAACAGGCAGAGCAGGAAATCAGTCATGGGATACTCACTGTTGGAACTCTTGTGTTGTGGCTTTGTTTATTAAGAGGGGGTCATATGGTCATGGCTTCCCTGGTATAATCACTACCTTGAATATGTATAATTACTTTTAGCTTTTCAAAAACACCTCTTTGTCCAGGCATTCTTTTATTTTTATAACCACCTTTAGAGTGGAAGGGGAGGTATTACTATCCCTATAAGGAGAAAAAAATTGAGACACTGGTAGCTATAACTTAACTAAGAGTCTCAGAGTTAGACAGTGATTGAGCTAGACTGATCCGAGGCACTGAAGGCAGCCTGTACTGAGCTGACTCCTAGCCTGACTGATGATGATGATGATGATAAGCAGTAACAGATATTAATATAGCACTTTAAATTTTATAAAGTGATTTATATTCATAAACTCATTTGGGCTTCATGACAACTCTTTTTTTTTCTTTTAAATTTATTTTTAATTAATTTATTTTGATTTATCAACAATTACTTCCATAAGCTTTTGAGTTTAAAATTTTTCTCCCCCTCCCTCCCCAAGACGACGTGCAATTTGATATAGGCTATATACATTCCTATTAAACAAATTTTCACATTAGTGATGCTGTAAGTACCAAGAGGAGGAACCGCCAGAAAGAGGAAACAAAGCCAACAGAAGAAAAAAAAATAGCAAATTGTATGTTACGATCTGCATTCAAACTGCATAGTTCTTTCTCTGGATATGGATAGCACTTTCCATCATAAGGCCTTTGGAAATGTCTTAGATCCTTTGTGTTACTGAGAAGGGTTAAGTCTATCAATTTTATGCTACACCATTCGGTACATATATGTTTAGTAATGATATTAAGATATATATATATATGTATATATATGTGTGTGCGTGTATATCTCTCTCTCTCTATATATATATCTATATATATATTTCGCTTTTTTCTTTTTGAGGGGGTGAGGCAATTGGGGTTAAGTGACTTGCACAGGATCACAAAGCTAGTAAATGTCAAGTGTCTGAGGCCAGATTTGAACTCAGGTCCTCCTAACTCCAAGGCCAGAGCTCTATCCAGTGCACCACCTAGCTGCTGCCCCATGACAACTCTTCAAGGGAGGGGCTACAGCTACCATTATCCCCATTTGACAGAAGAGGAAACAGGCTTAGAGCTAGCTAGTGATTTGTCCAAGGTCAGACATCTAGTAAGTGTCTGAGGTGGGATTTGGACCTAGGTCTTTCTATTTCCAAGTCTAGTACTCTGTTCGCTACAGCATGATGCTTTCCACAATACATTTGGTTCTTTTTTTTTTTTTTTGGTCATGTATCTTTGGGCAGTCTGGTGAAATCTAAAGACTTCTTCTCTCCCCAAAGTTTTTATATGGATACAATAAAATACTTAGGATTACAGTGGAAAGAAGTTGTAATGGAATATTGTTATCAAAATATTAAAAAAAAGTTCATAGATTACAGGTTAAGAATCCCTTTACTATGCCAAGATGCCCTGCTAAAATATATGTACCCTGCAGCTCAGGAAATTGCTTGAGAATATTCTCCCAGTAGTAAATATGGCAATTCAGTTCAGTATAAAAGGTTGAACTTGTAGAATCCAGGCTTCTAAGGGTATATGAAGAGATCTCCCAAATTAGGGTGTCTTTATTTCAAGGAAGGCACATGCTACTCTGTTAAGTTCAGTATATGAGTTGTCCTAATAGTCTTAATGCAGGTTTAAGTTACTAGAATTTAAACATTTACATTAGTTTTGACTCTTCACCTAGATGCTCCATGAGGACAGATACAATCTCTCATGCTTCTTTTGTACTTTCCATGGGGACTAGCATAGTGTTTGGCACCTAGTAAGCGATCAGTAAATATTTCTGGAATGTTGAATGATTTTTGTTTTCATCCTTCCATCTCACTACCTCCTGAAAAGTTAGGCTGACCTCGAAGTAGCTAATGCCAAAAAACATAAAACATTCCCACTAGATTTTTCATGTTACTTTGTTTTACTGTTTTGTTAATTGTAGTGGTCAGATTTAATCCAGGGATCATTATTCAGGCATTATTAATACCGGAAAATGGACTCATTTAGGTCCTTCAGGAGTCCATTCTATTGTTGTTAGTAGAGAATACCTCAGGCCACAGACATGGAGTCCATTGGTATTTGAAGTTTTTCCAGTTTGGTAGGATTTGCTGGAGGGTATAGTTCAGCCTATGTAAGTATACAGGATATAGGTGAATATGGGTAATAACCTTTGAGAACTAAGAGTCACCTACACCCCAGGATGAGGCACTGGGATAGTATATGTGCTTTTAAAAATTTATTGTACTCAAGTAAGATTTTTATTATGTTTCAGAGCAATAATATTTTCTATGAGAACTGTCTCTTAGAATATGAATGAGGAAATATCCTTTAGTTTACATTCAAATTTTCAGGCATGTGTTTGTTATACAAATCAAGGTGGATGTGAAATCAGAAGAGTGATTATCAAATGCTAAGAAGTTGAGACCATGAGGTGGTATTCTTTATTTTCTATTTGATGTTTAGAAAAGAAAAATGCTTGTTTTAATTCAATACTTGGGTATTGCCAGCATTTGTTGTTGTGAGAATAAGCTAATCACTGAAATCTTCTGGGAAATGAGTTAATATAACTCAACATAAGATTCTAGGGTAATTATTTATTCATATTATGTTTCTTTCCCTAATTAAAAGTACTCCAGAATTTTACTTCTGTAGAGTTCCTTATTTTGCTTATAAAACTTATGGAACTAATATGTCTTGCATGAGAGACATCTCATCCTTGTACAATAATTTACAAACTATATGCATTTCCAACTTTTGCCTTAGTATCTATACAATTCAAGAAACATTGAATCCTGAGAAATAATTCAAAGTGTTCTAGAGGCACATCAAAATGTCAAACTCTGTGAGAGCAGAGAATGGAACTTCGTTTGGACAGCTGTTTCCTTCACCCTGCTTACACGTAGGTAATTATCACATCTTGTTTCTCTATTCTCAGTGTACAAATCCAATTTGCCATTTCTTTCCATTTCTGTAGTCACTGCTTTAGTCCAAACCCTTGTCACAATATCCTTGGATTATTATACCAGCTTCTCAACTGATCCTCCTTCCTTCAATTTTCTTCACTCCAACTCATTCCATACTCAATTTCCAGTAAAATCTTCCCCGGACGTTTTCTGTCACAAAACTTCCTGGCTCCAATGTGGCTCCCTATTCACAATCCTCCTCACTCCACCTTCAGATCTTTCAACAACCCAAGTTATTGACAGCTCATTTGCCTAGTGTAGCCAAGGCAAGAATGAAAAAGTAACTCTTGGGCTAATCTCCTCAAATGCTTACCTCACATAAAGCCTATCTTAATGGGACATGGATTCTTTCCACAAGTAAACAATAATTGAGTCAGCTAGTAGAGAATTAGATGGCATGTCTATCCAACTAATTATAGATTTTTCTCCTCTACTCAACTCCATGGATGAGCCAGAGAAATCCAGAGAGGCCTAGAGAGGAGAAATTAAAACGATAAAATAGTAAAAAT